CTCTCTATCCAAAGATTGGACTCATTTGCCCAACTTGGAAAACTGAAGCCAAATCTGTTGGATAACTAGGGTGACTTCTGATTTCAATAGAGATTATAAAAGTGCCCGAGGGAGCACAGCACTGCCAGCTGTGGTGTGCACAGTCCCCGAGGGAGCACAGCACTGCCAGCTGTGGTGTACACAGTATTGGCACTGTTTATGACACCTGTTGGCGGGAAATCTCTCCACCTTTCCAGGTGGATGTTGAGGAAATGCTTTTTAGCTAATGAAATAAGAGACCTAAAACTCAGAAGTCTTGTGTTCTGGACAACAATTCTTCTGTGTATTTGTGGAAAGCTTTTACTTAAAAGTCAACATATTTTTTGTCAATGAGAACTTGGGATAAACAGCCAGGAACTTCAAATACCTTTATACCAACATTAGGTACCATAAAGACAAATATTTTTGTAAAAAATTTATTTCTCTGTAAATACAAATTCCAACATCAACAAACAAGAGTCCAGTGGAAAAATACTAGCCATTAACATTGAAAACTTTTTTTCTTAGTTTAATAAATAGAACTTTGGCATTCAAATTTCTAGCTGTAAACTCTATTTAAAAAACAAAACCAGAAACAACTCCTTTCCAAAAAGGAGGAAAAACAAAAAGTCAGAAGGCATAAGCCAGCCAGTGGCTTTACATTTTTTTTTTTTTTTTTTTTTTTTTTTTACAATAACTGCATTTCAGTTAAATCATGAACACTGTATTTACACATGAGGTATTCTGGCAGTTCAAAAACTGAACCTAGTTTACAAATCCACCAGTCAGTGACTGATTGCACACTCTGCTGTGCTCTTAACGTGACCATCTAGCACCTGACGACTTCTGGTCACCACGGCAACATGATGTCAATTTCACGCTTAAGTATTTAAATAACTACATATATATATATATGTATATATATGTACACATACATGTACATATATATATATATATTACACACACACATATGTATATACACACATACATACATACAAATGAATACATTTTAGAGGAATTTCCTGCTCTCTACAAAGAAAAGGCTGGGCTTCAAAAACATCCAAATATGATACATCTTCTCACGTTTACTAAGGTAACTATCATCTACAAAGAAATGGCTCTTCTTAGAAAAATTCTTGTCTATTTACCAAAGAACAAGGTGCAATAATCAACATTCTTATAGCTCATGTAAGAGAAATAAACACTGCAGGCAAAAAGGCACAGAAGGTTCTCTCTGTATGCAGCTGCAACAGGGTTGCCGATGACTACTGATTTCAAAGTACATTCTATTATATTCAATATTTCATTTAAATAAGAAACCTCAAATCATTCCCTTTCATGATTAAACGCATGACACATTCATACAGCAATTACCACCAATGTGTTTGGGGGGTGAAGTTGAAAGCTTTACTTTTTATACCAAATAGGAGATGGTGTCTCTTGGTTTGTGAACCTGAAAAGAACTGTCAAAAATGGGAACAAGAGGGAAGCAAGAGCTATGGTGTCCAAATGTCATCTGCTATGTGTGCTCATTCAGAGAGCAGCCTATCACTATAACTACATATCCAGTGACAGGAATCTAGACAACAACCCCAGAAATCCAAACCAGAGGCATGCTAGAGTTGACAGTACTGTGCAAAATAGGCCAGGTGCTCAGCTCCTGCTGCTCAGTGAACTATTACTGGTATTTAAAGAGCATTCTCCAATGAAATAGTCCCTTTGAAAACATCCCATTGAGTCTGAAACAAGAACACTATTTCCTCACAAGCCTCTAAGTCCAACTGCCCAATATTGATTTTAGCAACATCTCTAGCTCTTGAATTTTCCAACAAGCTAATGAAAGTTAAAATTCAGTTTCATGGAATTACAACCCCACAACCATTACTAAGATATAACAATGTTAACATTAAACAGTGAGTCTTATTCCAAATATTAAAAGGGACCATGCTCTTAAAAATAAAAATTCTTGGATAGTCACCTAGTCAAGACTTACAATCTTAAAGTCAGAGGTCTCTGAAAATGTACTAAGTGTAATTCTATTTTTCTGACATCAAAATGATTTAGCTACTTTTATCTGCATAGGTAACCGGTGTCTTTCCTGTGGCAACTGTTAGTCTACCTCTGTTCTATGTGGCTGTGTCTGAATGGCTTCAGCTTCAACAGACCTAAAATAAAATACTGTGTAACACTTCCTAGGAGAATAAAGACTTTATACACAAAAGCACAAATGAAAAGAAAGTTCATTACATATGGAAATTTACAGATAGATTTACTTTAGAATTCTAAGTTCCCTTTTATTTTAGGCTTATGTCATTATAGCAACTTCTATGTACAACCTACTTCAAAATGTGGATAAAACACTACAGAATTACTATCTGCCATCTTACCTGACCTAATGGTAAATGTTTGTTTTCAATGTGATGTGATATTTTTACTCTTCTCACAAGGGTGTGTCTTAAGGAAGCAGATGTTTCTCAAAAATGAAATGCTGACTAACTAGAGCACAACTAGTTCATCCTCCTTAAAATTCCCTCCAAAGCTGACTACTTATTATCAAAGTCCTTCACTAACCCTAGACTCTAATTGAGATTAGTATTTTGTATCCCATATATCAAAATATGAATCAAAATCTATCATGTTTAAATGCCTTACAAATGGCAGTATATAATTTAGAAACTGAAATGTATCAGTAAAAGTTTGGTAGTTTCTTAATTAAAAATGTGTTATTCTAATAAGACATGTGAATTAAATTCTTAAAGTTTTAGAAAACTAGCCAATCACAAGTAGCCAGAAAAAAGTATGTGTGCTTGTCTCTGTCTATATATATATATGTATATATCTATATGCATATATATACACACATCAAAATATATGAGCATAGATTTGTTTTAAAAAACAATAACTATAAAACCTCAAAACATAAAACTAAAAGCCTAGGACTCAGGAGCTGTAAGAAGATGCTAACATGAATAAGCTAACATGGTTGCTCTATTGTGCTGTGGTTTTAGGTGCCTTTATTTCTGAAATCATGACAGGATAGTGAGGACTCTATCCAAAGAGAATCTGTTACTTGCTGTTCTGTGGTTAACCCATGTAGATGCTATCATCTGACTTTACAGCTCAGGACCACCTGCAGATTTTACTTTTTGCAAGCCATATATTTTTGCAACCAACAATTTCTTGATAGTCATCAAAGCATTAGCTTTAAAACCCAATGAACACATTTTTAAAGAATCAAATTCTTAGAGTGGCCAAGATCCTCTCTGGATTAGGGAGTTGGGATGCATATTCACCTCAACACACTGATTTGTTGGTAGCCAGATCCCAAGAGGAATAGAGTGGATTTAGCACTAAATAGAAGGGAAATCTGTTATTATGACGTAGTATAACAAACTCCTGAAATACAACTATCAAAGGCCCATTCTGAACCAACTGTGTTCCTGGGCAGTCTCCTCAAAGGCCAGTCCCACTAAGTTTTCATTGCTGAGATTAAGAAAAATCTTTTCTGGAACAAGCTTTATACCAGAATAAGCTTAGTAAAGAAACAGGTATGTGTCTGATCTCAGGCAACAGTACTATCCTGCTGGTTCCAAACCCTTTACTCTCCCACCTACGCAGTCCTGCCTGAAGAAAACGGGGTTGTATTAAGAAGGAAGGGAAAAAAGAAAAAAGGAAAAGGAAGGAAGGAAGGAGAGAGGGAGGGTGTGCGGGAGGGAGGGCGTGTGGGAGGGAGGGAGGAAAGGAGGGAGGGAGGGAGGGAAGAAAAGAAAACCAATCTATAAAGGGCAATGCTTTGCCTGTATTGGAAAGATTATAATGGATTCTCAGCCAGCAATAAAATATATAACCTTTCTAAAACATAAAATGATACAGACAATATTATTTGACATTTAAGTGGCCGTGTGTCTGGTCAAATGAGCTGCATTCCTAGTACCCTGTGTCCAAAATGAACTAACCTAAGCAATATCATAGTCCATGACAAACTGTTTGTAATGTGACAAATCCAAGAAAAGATTTCACAATATCATTGAGTCTTAGGTTTTATGTTACTGTTAATTCACATATGAATAATGAGTTAGCTTTCTCTTTAAGTAATTAAAGCAGGCATAAAACTGTTTAATGAAAATGCTGAAATGTAGATAAAAAGCAACTCTGCCAGAGTTACATTATCATCTTTCTTTTTATAATAGTCACTGAAGGCCTCACAGGACTCCTATTATTTTTATACAGCTCTGTTTACATATCATAAAGACTGAAAATAGTAAGGGGTATGCTTAAATAATTGCAGTTACTTTTCTTATTTATAAATTACAAAGCCAATGAAACACTCACCACAGCAGAGTCTCACATTGCTGAGACAGTCTACACATACTCTGGAAGAAACAGCTGTCTTCAGTGTCAAAATGAGCCCAAGTTCACAATCACACTATCTTGATAGTCACTTTTTAAAGCACTAATGACTTTGCTTGCTATCCTTCTGCACGAGAACGCTGCCTTGCTATTGGATCTAGGCAGCCTGCCTATAAAATTCCAAAATGAAGAATTGACAGTGTGTGCCTTTCAAAGCTTTGCTTTGACCCTTGAAATCCTATAACTGTGTGGATAGAGTCCACACAGAGAGACACACAGACAGAGAGACAGACAGAGACAGAGTGATCAGGCAAGAGAATGAATGAGCATTCACATGTACACACACAAAGAGATAGGATTAAGGAAACACTATGCCTTTATCTGAAGAGCACTGTTCACAGCTTGGTCCTACAATCAGTAGTTTGAAAATGCAGGTTGTTTTGTTCTTTTTCTTGCAGACATTATCTCATTTTTAAAACAGTAACATGATTGTTTGCCTGATTTGATTAGCCCCTTCGAACTTCCTCAGTAAAGCAAACAGAACAACAACAAAGCTGAAGTAGGCCACAAGGAGCTTCACTTTTCCCTTGTAAGTCCTAGAAAGAAACAAAAGAGTCTAACATAGCAGCATTTCACAATGGATCATTGTTGCTGTGGACCAACACTTGATCATTGGGTAACGCAGTTGTCGCCCATGTCCTGAGCATAGCGGTCTGATATTGTAGTCCTTAATTCATCAATGTCCCTCCGTAACTGGCACACATCTGAGAGCTTTTTAGTGAGCGTTTCTGGGCTGTGGTCATTTTCAGTCTCTTCAGCTGAACAGTTCATTGCTGTGTGAAAAAAGCATGGAGAGAAAGTCTCACATCTCTACATAGACATTTCAAGATTATCTTCTTCGTCATGGCAACATGATGTTGTACAATGAGTACCAGCAAGGCTTGGGTACAAATCATACATTATTTGATATTAAATTGACCCTACCTATGTTGTTTTAAAAGAAAAAACCACCACTAGTTATAATGCTTTGAATTCATATAACATTCAGCGTGCTTGGTGGACGGCAGTATTAGCAAAGTGAAAAAGAATGTGACCTCACACCTCTTTCTAAGCTCCACTACAATACGGAATTCTTTCCCACTGACAAAATCTGAAAATTATCTGCATAGAGAAAATGTCTTAAAAGCGGGTTTTACTGGCATGCAGACATTAGTTTCAAAAGATAGAGCCAGAGTATTAGGACCCTATAATCTCAAAGAACGGAATCAAGTACATAGTAAGTGTCCAATGTCTGAATAATGAAGGAGAGGCTCTACTCAGCTAGCTTTTAATTATCTACTCTAGTTTCTCTTTTTAAGCTTGTTCCAATAAAAAAGCAAGAAAACTGAAATAACCTCCTTCTACCCCTGACACAGTAGCCCAATAATTGTTTTTTAAATACTGAACATTTACCATGATCAAGGTGTGATGCTGGATGGAGAAGTCAGTGACTTATTCTCAATGCTTCCTATATAATTCCATAAACAACTGAGTGTACAGTATATTGTAGATGACTCACCACCACCAAAAAATACAGCGGGAACTGGCAAAAAACACAGGTGTCTAACTGGACAAATGGATGGGCTTATTTACTGGTGGGCCATTGAAACACAAAACAAAGCAATCTGATAGAATCTGAGAAGCAAGACTATTATCTAGCCATAAAAGAGTAGGACATGAATTACATGAGACAAGAAGCATAAGAAACAAGGTACAGAGATAGGCAGAACCCCTCCTATCACAGGGAGTATATTAGGAGAATCAATTTAGTTTAGAAAAACCACTGGCAACAGTAAGAAAAATGGGTAGGGAAAGGAGGACAAATAAATGCGTAACAGTCCAGTTCAGAGTTATGTGTGCCTGAATTAAGCCTGCTATAATGGTAGGAATGAATTAGCTCTACTAGAGCTCAGCTCTCATAACTTGAGTGAGGGTCAGGACTGGGAACAGCTCATGGAGGAAATGGATGATAGTGTGTGGTGCTGCTCACTCCTGTGAGGAGCACAGTTAGTTGGGGCAAGTGGAGTTCTACTTCAGTCATGCTGAGTCTCTGATGCTGCCTAGGAAACAGCCACACTGAATACATATAAAGAGTTAACTACAATCAGGACACCAAAGATGCCTTCTAGACAGGATGAGAGATCAGTATCTGTATGGGGGGGGCAGTATTGTAATAACAGAAAACATAAAAAAACAAAAACAGTATTCAGAGAGAATGCGAACTAAAAGTAGAAACAAATGAAAACACTCACTGACTAGCAGTTCTTATGGACCACAATATGATTTTTTTTTTTTTCCTGGACAGGGTTCCTCTATGTAGCTCTGCCTGTCCTATAATTCATTCTATAGATCAGGCTGCCCTTGCACTAACAGAAATCTACCTGCCTCTTCATCCCAAATGCTGGGATTAAAGGTATGTCCAGCTTAAACCCAGGAAGAAAGTTGCAGAGAAGTCTATAGAATGCTGAGCCTAAGTAGTCATAAATGTGGGAGTAGAACTTAGAGAATGATGTCATGAAAACCAAAGAGGCTGAGAACTTTAAGAAAAGGGACCTGGTCTGCCAAGACATAACTGATGGAATCATGAGAGCAATTCAAGCGCATTCATTGGTCCTTCACAAAGTAGCTGGCTGGACAGAGTTTCACAATGTCAAATGTAAGGTAAGGACTGGGAGGTTGAAGCCGAAAGCCTAAAAAGAGCATACCCTGAGGATCAGTGATGTGGAAGGTGGTGAGCGTCTTGAATCTCTACTACATTCATAGTAGCACAACTCTGTTAATTTAAAGGTTAATAGATGCTATACTAAAATGTCAATTATAAAATAATCAAAGGAAAACCAATTTTAAAGCACTGAAGTCTTTTATATGTGAAATTCAGTTTCTTCCTCCAAGAGATCCACTCTAACCAATGTCTTTTCGTCTGGCATCTTCTCCTCTAAGATCCATATCAAACACCAGTTACCCCACTTAGCCTTTGCAGCCCTTAGTCCTTTTAATTCCTTGTGTTACTACTGTTCTTTGACCACATCTCAATTTCAGCACTGACTGCATGGATCTAATAACAGTTAGTGTGTGAGAGGCGGTGGTCTCCATATCTGCACTGACAGGGCCTCACTTAGCACCCACACCACTGAGGGTCTGATGTGTGCACTAATACTGACTAGTGCTTTTCACACGCCTACACTTCAGCATGTGAACAAACATACCTCTATTAAGTGAAGGTGAAATTCTGCTAACCTTGCTTAATACAATATATGTTTCACTTAAGAAGTGACATTCTTTAAAAGCATTTATTGGAAGTCAAAATACCTATTATGAGGTAATATGGTAGAATAAATAAAATAAAATTGATAAAATACAAATATCCTCTTGTCACATATAAGCCATACATACTGAGCCAAGCATTTAATAGAACGTGTTCAACCATAAACTTCTTTGTGGATGTAACCTTACCCCGTTTTTAAGATTTTTACTATCCATTTCTTCTCTATTAAAAGGATAACGACAAAATAATATTCTTCTCCTGGGAACTACACAAAGAGACGGGCATTCCTACAAAGGACCCCAAGGAAGGCTCGTTACTTTATTACTGTGGCAGCTCTCACACAATTTGAGGCAGAAGGGGAAAGAACGTAGACAGTCACTGGGATGTCACGAGAAAGGAGAAGCCATGTGTGGTAAAGACAGCACATCTGGAGAGAGACTCTGGCCCACATGAAATGACGGGCAGTTAGTTGACACAGCTGGCCCACTCATCTGGGTAACTGCAACTATGCCTTTGCTGGCTTCCATAAGTCTATGGCAGTTTTAGTAATGGGCCAGGAGGTAAACTGAAACCACCAGCCGCTTGGGAGACTTCTAAAGCCAAAGAAAAGGAGAGCACAAAGCAAACATGGAAAAGAGAACAAAGGCAAGACATCAGCCACTTACATCTGATTCCCAGTAATAACGAAAGGTTAGGCTCCTTGCCCTGAGCTCGTTGATTAAGAATACTGCACAACGCTTTCAAGTCAAACAAACAATAGGACATTTCCTTGAACAGCTGGTCAATCACAGTCAGATCAAAGAGAGGCCACTTAGAACGGACGGTCTGCAACCCAGAGTGCTCTCCTTCCTGGCACTGATCCAGTAGAGAGTACGCCTCTCCTGTCTGTCTTTGGCTCTGTGGTGGATAAAAGAAAGGAAAAAGAAAGGAAGAAAAAGCCAGTTATTAGAACAGAGAAAACAGATTCAAAGAGTCAAAAAGCTTAACATTTTCCATGAAGTCTATTATTAAACATCATAGTGAATTTACCCTAACTAAATTCAATTGCACACATTCAGTAGAAAAGAAAAAAAAAAATCTGTATTTATAGGTCTCACTGCTCTCTGTCATTTGACACCATCATAAACAAAGGGAAAGATCACACCCAAGCAGACTGGCTATGCATGCATTCTCCACAATGTAACCATTTGAATGACAAGAACAGGGACACCCTAAACCTCATTCCATGGTGTTGTTAAGTAGCAGAAGTGACTTAACTATACTAGAAGTATTTCTTTTTCTCCTTCTTTTTCTTCTTTTTTTTTAATGTAAAAGAAACCCCCTTTTTCCCCATATGATATATCCCAATCACTTTTCCTCTCCCTGACTCCTCCTAGACCCTCCCCATGTCCCCTCCTCGCCTATCCAACTCAATACCCTTTCTTTTCTTTTCTTTTCTTTTTAAAAAAAAGACAAGACAAACATAAAACAAGAAACTCATTCTCTCCTCTCTCTTTCTCTCTCTCTCATAAACATGCACACACCAAATTCCCATCCCAAAACAAAACAAAGCCCCACCCCATAAAACAGGAACAAAAATATACAAGCAAAAGACAAATGAGACAAAGTGTTCAAACAATACAAATGAACAAAAAGTCTACAATAATACCACTGAGTTTTTTGTTTCATGTTGGTCAACTATTCCTAGGTGTAGGATCTATCGTGAAGTGGGTTAATGTGCCCAATGAGACTCCACTGAAGAAAACTAGAACTATTTGATTTTAAGAAAAAGTACTTATGTTTTGATATTTATAGGAAAGACACAAAGAAAAACATGAAAGGGAAAGAAATGCCAGCATCCCAGAACTGTTTGACTGGAACTGGAGTATCAGCATGGAGCCATGACTTACTATACTCAGAAAAGGCTATTCTTATCTCCAAAATTATTCTCCCCTTCTCAGCCTGGAAACTGCTAACAAAAAGTAAGCTTAACAGGATCTGCAACTGGAAATGCACTTAAGAATAAGCAAATAAACCGAGTGATAAGAAAAAGACTGCTTTTATATATGATCATTAGGGAATGAAGTGCATGTGAAAAACTAACATTTTTAAATCTACCTATTTAGGCAATCAATTTTGTAGAAGCTAACCCCACCAAGAAAACAGATGCTGTATTTACCCAGTCCCACAGGTCAAGTGCTGTTTGTAGTGACTGCACCTTTATAATAAAAAAGCCAGGCTGTCATCACTTTAACCTAGAGAGATTAGTATGTGTATACCACTTAGGAAGAATAATCAAATATTGTACGCAACACAAAGTACCCACAGCAAATACAACTGACAGGAATTTCATGCAGCCTTTAGCTCTAATAGCTAGCTTACTAGAAACAAAAGGTAAAGAACAAATGGCACCATTAAGGAAGCAACTGGACAAATCTAAAAGGTATGACAATCTATGAGATGAATTAGCTTCTAGTGTCTTAAAAAAGACAGTAACATGGGAAGAATGGCACCTCAGATTTTTAGACACCATAAAGAAATGCAAGAGTGGCCCTTGAAGGAACAATGTCTTCCACAGCCACTGGGGGGAAAAATACTTGGTGGGGGGGGGGGGAGAATGTGGATATAGATGATTATCAACATCAAGAAATCATGATTTTTATTGGGCACGACAATCATATTGTGGTTATGTAAGAAAGCATCCTCCACTTTAGGGAATTCATTTGAGTAGTTCGGCTAACACATGACCGCATGTAATGGTGTCTTAAACCCGGTCAGAGTGCGTCAGTTCCCACTTAGGAGAGTGTGGTCTGAAGCTGCAGCAGCAGTACTGCAGTCCCCTGGAGGACTTTGTTCATGGTCCATCTGTGCTTTCTTGGTGCCATGAAAACTGTATTCTAAGATGAGTGGGGAAAGACATAAGAAACCCAAAGGCTTATCTTTTTGCTATAATATTCTTGTGAAGCCTAATGAATTTAATTAATCAACACATCAAAGTCAAACCTGTATCCACTTGTACAAAGCAGGCATTGACTCTAAAGAGGTGGAGAGTCGATGGCCCTTGCAGGCAGTCTGAGTTGTACTCACTTCCAGCAGCGCGTCTGTTAATCTCTGCAGGCTTCCTCCTTTCCTTCCTAGCTCTTCCACCACATTCTGTGCAGTCAATTTCTCTTTAGAAAGTTTCCCTTGCATAGACTAAAATGACAACAATGACAAAACTGTACATCAAATACATTAGCGCATAAAAAAACATATGTCACTCTAACATACTCCACATACTACAATCATTTTGCCTCCCTAGTCCCTTCTAAGTTGAAGAAGTGACCTTTAAAACAATTCACATTAGACCCAAAGACTAGAAACTTTAACCTGTGTAAAACATGTCAAATCGAGGTTTCTATTTGTGCCATACTACAAATAATTCTTATTTTACTAATTACTGTTAGGAGTGTGTTGGCAGCAAAGCAAGACTTTGTTAATTTTTTTCTTATGTGTAAAATAGTAGAATAATACAGTTCTTTTTTTTTTTTTTTTTTTATCATTTGTAGCTAAGCTCCCCTTTTTGTTTATACTGTCCTTGACATTGAACACGAGCCCAAACTCAGGCCAGTAGGAAATTTGAAAATTAATCTGCTTATATCATTTAGATAAGACCGTATTGTGAGAAAACAACATGATGTGACAGAGAAGCATAGAAGCTGCTTTAGGAATTCCTGACTTTTATTCACACTACAGGAAGAACTTGTCATAACTCAGTAGTTTACTAGGGTTCCTAGGTGTTTCTATCAACTCTCCACACTGTGGTTAGAGCATGAAATCAATAAACTCATGACCAGGGAAGAGAAATCATTTTTTTTCTACAAGTCTATCTTTATTTTTAACTAAAAATGCTTAAGTACACTGACTTCCCAAATAGCACATGTCCATTATGCGTGTGTCTTCTATGCATGTGATAGAACTGGGAGAGGGTCACAGGGGCAGGCATAAGACTGAATGGGAAGCGGTATCAGAAGGGGCAGATATTTAACTTATTGTTTTTAAATGTCATTTGATAAAACTCTGAAAGACTAATGACTTAAAAGTTAGATAAAAGTGAACCAAACCTTTGGATAAGTACATTTCCTTACATAAACTTGTTTTACAGTCTCTCAAAATGCATTTCACAATATAGCACAGAAGGAAAGCTCTCTTGTCTTCTAATTTCATTTAATTGAATGATGTATGAAGATCTATTACCTACTTGGAGATTTATGCTTCCTGTCCTGACAAGATTATCTATACTCCATAATTCAACTGAAATTATATAGAGAGAATGTATATATTATATATTCATATATATATAATAAATAATATACATATACTTATTTTACATATCAATCTCAGTTCCCTCTCCCTCCCTCCCATGTCCCCTGACCCCCTCCCATCCCATTCCCCCCCAACTCCATAGGGAGGGTGATGCCTTCCAGGAGGGATCATCAAAATCTGCCAAGTTGTTTGGACTAACATACATGGCTTTATTAGAATTATAGACTTAAAACTAGCACAGATAAACACTTTAAAGCTAACACCGTAACAATCAAAACTGAGCCCAAAGAGGTTACTTTCATAATGAAATCCCTTAAATGCTTAGTGTTCTGCACTTTGGTCAACTCAGAGCCATGTTGACTATGAATGACAATTAGCTAGTCACTAATGAGTTTCCATATAAGAATAAAATGAAGACAGTTGCAGTACAGGCAACCTTTTCTAGCAGAAGAACTTAGAAGCATCTGGCAATAGTGCCACAAGAAGGAAAACTGAAATAACATCAGGCTCACGAGTCATACTGGCTGGGGTTCAGATACAGTCCTGTCTGCTTCCAAGGATAACTCTAGCTATAGTGCTAGCAATGCCTGACAGCAGCACCTCACCTACACAGCAGTTAATCTAGTCTAAACAGTATGAGAAGGAGCACACACAATGGTTAGAGGAAGGAAGCAATGTTATCGTATCAATAACTGAAGGGACAAAAACATGACTGTCACGCTAAGTCTCTGAAGTCACCCTGAACAGAAAGGGGTGTTTAAGTATTCTGATATTTTACCTCATGTTCACAAGAGCTCTTGTAATATTTACTAGTGTTTATAAATACAAATGCAAAATATGTTTATTTTTGTGTAAGAATTCATAACAAGTTAATAGTTACTTGCTACTATTAACTAGTTATTATGCAGAAACCTAGAAATTTTGATAGATATTTTAGCTAATTTATTCTATTAAGAATGAATAATAAATGTTATTTCACAAGGAATTTTCTTTTTTTATATACATTTTTATTTGAATTAGAAACAATCTTACTTTACATATGTCTTCCATATTGCTAGAATCCTACAGCTCCCAGGTGGAGAGCTATCCTCACACAGGAAACAGGAAACATCAACATGTGATACTCTACCCTAGCTACCTGTAGCTGTGGGTAAGTTTCACGACAGGGTAGGCAAGAAGAGGGGCCTCCTTCTCCCACTGTGTTCCCACACAGGAGGGGGCTTCACCTTCCACTGTCTTCCCACACAGGAGGGGGCTTCACCTTCCACTGTCTTCCCACACAGGAGGGGGCTTCCTTCTTCCTCTGTCTTCCCACACAGGAGGGGGCTTCACCTTCCACTGTCTTCCCACACAGGAGGGGCCTTCACCTTGTGTGTGCTGCTACTAGGAACATGGTAGTCCTAGTAATTATTGCCTCAGTTTGTGGAGTAGAGGGTACAAGTTACATACTAGAAAAGACAAGTCAAGGATGCTGAGAGATGCTGCCACTAATCTTTTTACTAAAGGGTAATTCCGAGAGTGAAGGTTTCATTCAGAAGTTGTGAGGGCCTTGGAGATGACTAGGCGGAAAAAGCACTTGCTGGGCAAGTCTGAGTGAGGACCAGAGTCCAATACTGACAATCCATGTACAAGGCTCACAATCCATGTACAAGGAGATGCACATAGCACTCCTATGGCGAATGGGAGGAAGAGACAGGCTAGTAACTAAGAAGTTTACACGTCAGTGACCTTGGAGTAGACAATGCAGAAGCAGAATGGACAAACAAATAATAGAGGCCTTGCCTCAAGCAAGGAGGAAGGCAACAAGTTCCCCAAATTGTTTTCTGACCTCCACATGCATGAATGCTGTACACACACACACACACACACACACACACACACACACACACACCCTCTAACTTAGAAAAAACAAAGTTTGTGATTAACCCCAACTTTAGAGATTTTTGTCTTAGGGGAAAAGAGCATAATATGGAATTACAAATGTATCCACAAAGAAATGGACTTCATTTGTAAGACTATGCAGAGAAGTTCAAGCCTAAAGGCCCTTTCAAAACACTGAAGTTGCTGGAGAGATGGCTTGGTGGTTAAGAATGCTTTCTGTTCCACCAGAGGACCTCAGCTTTGTTCCCAGCACCCACATGAGGACTATCACCACCACCTGGAACTCCAGCCTTCAGGGACGCCTTCACACACGCAATACACACACAGACATACATATTTTTCAATAGTGGCAGTATGGCAAAAGACCACTGTTAGGTTACTGTCAGATTACCCGGTGCTACAGGCTAAAATGCAGGCTTGAAGCAGGCATGTGTGAAGCACAGTCCCCCATCAGAACCTGCTTCCCTTGCCTGTGCAGCTCTCCTGTGAAGGAACCGGAATGGATGCATCTGTAAAGCAGCTTATGCCACAGTGAACAGCTGGAAGCAAAGCATCCACAGCAACTAGAGAAGCTAAACAACTGGCTGATGCCAGGGAAAGTCACAGACACCTGAAGTTGTGAAACAGGCAAATCTACAGAAGCCAGAAGTGTCCCAGGGATTGCTCAGAGCTAGAGAGCAGAGAGCGCTTAAGAGAACAAATGAAAGATAACAAGCCTTCTTCTGAGTACTTCTTGAGAGTACTCTCAAGTTGTGACTTGAGTCTCAACATCTACTGGATATACTAAAAAAAAAAAAAACAAAAACAAAAACAAAACAAAAATCGTAAAATAAAATTGCATGAAGAGTATGTTGTGATAATTATGACTCAAAATTATCAAAACTTCACACACTATAAAGAAAAGTCTGCCTGAACTCCTTTCTTCTGCATTGCAATCTTTATCTTAGGACATAAACAAGAAAGTTATCTACATAAACTTTTTACTTCACCTCCCACCTAGTCTCCCCCCCCCCCCCCGCTCCCACTCAGAGGCAGGGAATGCTGACACACAAGCCTGCATCTACAGTCTGTTCAGTCCATGTTCAGATTCATAAAGCTCACAGTGAGATTCCAAAAGTACCCAACATAATCTACCCAGACAAACTTGGGGGCTGATCAAGGTTCTTGTGCACAAACAGCCTCAAGAAAATTTTGCACAATTTACATGGACAGCCGCCTCTCCAACCAAATCATAAAAGATGTGTATTCACTTTTTACAGTTTTTGACATATCTTAATTATGTAAAAGTTATAAAGTACTTACAACAAATGTATCATATGTATACTAAAAGTCTCCTGAATTAAAATCTGGGAAAAGAGCATTTGAAAGGATGTTGATCTCTCTCTGATAGAAGGCACTATATTTGGCTGGTAGGTTTTTCAACTATTAAGTTTGATAAGGTAGTTTTAGTTTGTTATATGACATGAAGCAATTTTACATGCATATTTTAAAAATTAAGCATTAGAAAGAATTTCATATTATGAAATTAATATAACAAAAGGTAGGAGATAAAAACTATATAACAATGGAAGAATTAATAAAATTCAACTAATTAGGTTAAAGAAGTCATATCCCACCTATAAGGAAACCCACTGGCTTATGATCCATTTCTTGAGTATTTCTACTAAGTAAATCTACTAATTGAACCTTATAAGATACTGGTAAACATTAGTATAGAATGTTGCAAGACTGCATAAATATCTTCTCTTGACACATTATAAATAGGACGAACTGTCAAGAGTTTGGAGAATGGAAGTCCCACTCACTCCTATAAGAGTAAGGATTCCTCTCTCCTCTCTCTCTCCCCCCTCTCTCTGTCTCTCTCTCTCTGCCTCTCTCTCCTTCCTCTCTTTAGTTTTCCAAGACAGGGTTTCTCTGTAACAATCCTAGATGTCCTGGAACTCACTCTGTAGACCAGGCTGACCTCAGACTCACAGAGATCCACCTGCCTCTGCCTCCCGAGTGCTGGGATTAAAGGCATGCACCACCACTGCCCAGCTAAGAGTAAGCATTCTTAATGACATCTAAAAGTAATTTTATCTTTCATGGTTATAATAATCATTCATTGACAGATGCCAATTCAGAAACATAATTTAACGGCATACTTGCTTCTATTATGGAAACATTTTAAAATTGGTTAAAAAACTAGTAAAGTCTACACTTCTTTTATCAAGACTACAAATACAAAATGTAATGGTAACAGCTAATTAGAAATAAGCTGATGAGGGTGAAATGCTCTTAAAAATGAAGTCAATCACAGTCAGACTGTAACCATAATATTTATAGAAATGAGGGGAGAATGTTCTTAAGTGGACAGAAGAAAAGCCTGTAGAGCAGCCAATTTATCTATCCTGGTCTCTGGATACAAAGAAAAGAAACATTTCTATCCAATCAAGTAATCAACAAGGTGTTCATCCCAGTCAACAGTATCATCCTGAGAGTTGACCAAAATGCACAGAGACCTGAACCTTACAGGGTTCAGTTTCATATAGGACTGTTTCAAATTTAACATCTGTTTTTATATGAAGCCTTGCTTTTTCTGTATTTAACAACTGTAGTACTATTCTGTACCCTTCTAAAAACTAAGCCACACTTGCCAGTGACCTATACCAGGTAAGGGTTTCTTGTTGTTTGTTTGTTTTTTCTTTTGTAAACTTCAGGTGTGAAATCGCAGGTGCCAGCTGTATTTAAATAGTATCTTCACACCAGGCCTGGTGACATCTACCTTTAATCCTAGCACTTGGGAGGCATAGACAAGCAGATCTCTGTAACTTTGAGGCCAGCCGGATCTATATGGATCTATATAATGAGTTCCAGGTCAACAAGGACTACATTATGAGAGCCTAACTCAATAACATTTTCATTATGAAATAATGTCATATTTTTATCTTATATCAATAAGGGAGAAAACATATACAGAAAAAGATTTTCCCGCTTATCTCTGACCACTTAAATGTTTTACAGGAAAAAAGCAGTGATTAAAAATGACAGGAGTCTAGGAGTGGGCCCTCTCCCTTCCTTACTGATCCATGTGGGTCACTCCCAAAGTTACATATCCTATCAAAAAGGATGACCTTTCTCATAGAGGACCTTTGTTTCCCTAGAGTATATGAGTAACTGTGTTCCCAGCTAGAACCTCCAAAGAAGCTCCCAAAGTAGTTAGAATGAGGATGTATGATTCTAAAAAATTCTTTATTAAAATCTGTTGAATGACTTTATGTCATATATAGAGTAAAATATAAACACTGGATCATCTTGTCCAGGCTACTTCACCTCATCTTACTACTGCAATCTCCCTCTCTAGGAGGACAGCCTCCCTGCTGGTACTAGAACACATTAGACAACTTAGGGCATCTGTTGCTTCCTCTTCCCAGTATGAGCTATGCTTCACCCTGGCTATCTTCATTGAAGTCTCTGCTCAAAAACTACCTCCTTTACAAAACTGCATGGTCACCCTTTCATGTGAAGTCCTTTCTGTCACTGCCCTGTACCCTACTTATGTTTTTAATTAACACTCTTATAACAGAAAAAGATAATAGAACTTGATATGTATTTCCATTTCCAACCCAACCCATTAGACTGACTGGAGACTTGTTTTGCTCACTAATGAAATTCTGTGTCCACTGTAGAGACAAAGGCTCCAAAAGTATCTGGCAAATAAATAAAGGAATTAAAGACCCGTTTGTTTCCAAACTTTTCAAGTATGCATTATGTGTCCAGAGTTTTGTTAAGTTAGTTCTATCTCCTCAGCTGAGCTACCAGAGCATCATTCTCAAGAAACTCAGCAAAATGTAAAGACATAAACATGTAGCATGCTATCATTTGCTAGGAGCACTGTCAATTCACCTAAAGGCTGGGAACACGTTTCCATGCTTTATGAGACAATGCTCTGTAGAGTCTTCACAGCTGAGGAGGGTTTGACAGACAGGCACTTAGGAGACTTTGATTTTTACTGAAATTTCCTGAGGCATCATGCGTACATACACAAGTATGCTCAAGATACATAGGTAAGGAGGAACTATAAAAACAGATACTGATACACAGCAGAAGTACTCCACAAGTAACAGACGCTGCATTATTCCTGTAACTGGTGAGCATCGCCTATAGCATTATAGGCATTATAGTACAATGGCAGTAGGGGAGATAAAATCATGAAACAGAATAGGAGAGACAGTAATCTTAGACATCTTAATATTGGGCAGCACCATGGGATGCTGGGGAGAACATTACAGACTTCTGAAGAAAATTTGATGGAGGAAAGGAACTTAACATGGCTAGAGTTGGGTTGGGAATATGTTTCCAGATGAAACCAGCATATGAAAATTAAATGATACGTAGACTAACAACATTCCACTCTCTCTCAAGATTAGGTCTATGACAACTTGAATCAAATGCATTCCCAGCACCTGGGAGAGACTACAGTCAATGACAGAAGAGAGTGGCAAAGAAGAGAAAACAGCTTTACAATCCATCCCTTTGGAGAACTGGTTTACCAGGAAAAATTTCATTTTATTAGTAAATTTTTGTCTTTCACAACTGTATACATATACACTATTAATTCTGCTTAGACTAACATTAATTTATAACTATGCCAGGTACTATTAGTATTATATTTTCATATAGCTACACATATACTTTAATACTTTTAGGTGACATAGACACTAAAATACATACAAAACATTCCTTACCTGAATCTCTAAAATCATTCTGTTAATTTCATCCTGCTGGCTCTCTATTATCTAAAACACAGCAAATAAATTAGTCTGAATCTTTTCCATTGCTTTAAGAAAGCATCAATACTTCAAGAAAATTCAAGAGAAAAGTTTATATTTAAATGTCTTTATTTTACGAAAACACTCATAGTTAAATGGCCTTTAAATTGCAAGATGATGTGGACTACCCATAAGCAATACTACAAACATTTTCCTGTAATTCTTAATATCTGTAAGGCTTTTATTTACGTTTAAATAATTTATATGTTAAACTGCTATCTTTTTTAAAATCAAAGTAAACTAAATATTTTATAAGCTATTAAATACCACTAAAATTATAAATCACACAGAAAGCTCTAAGATACACATATTCCACAGGACAGATGTGACCTCTGCTCTCAGAGTGTATACTAACCTTACTAGCAGTCGCATTCTGCTCTCTGAGATTATCATTTTCACTTTGAAGTTGTTTTGCATCTAACATGGGAAGGCGGATTCCATCTTCAAGGCATTTTTCTACTTTTTGTTGTAAGCTGTTGTTTAGAAAACCATTTCATGAAGAAATATTTTTAATCAAACAATTAAGATTCATAGAAAATATATAAATAGCTATATATTTTACATAAGTAAGAAAGCCCATAACTAGATAGAGGCTGGTCATCATTTTAGAAATGGCGAATCTGAAGTCGGGGCTGCTAATAGTGTGGCATCCCTATGTCCCATTGAAGTCCATCTCATGAATTGAACTCTGTAATCTAACCCTATTCCTTCCTTCTTTCCTAGATGAGCATTACCTTAAATACTGGTTCACTTACTTAGGATTGTCATGCTGTCTATGACAAAGGAAGCTCTTCTGGCACATTAAAAAATAAGCCAAATTCTTCCAATGCAGTCTCCACCCCACTTAAGGGCAGACCCCAGGCCTAGGGATAGCTAGCAGCACAAAACAAACTCAGTGGTTTTCCTTTAGACTTCCCATCTTATCCCATCTTACTTTGCTTAGCTTGGGCATTTTTTTTTTTTTTTTTTTTAAATCGTATGTGTATGTGTGTGTGTCTGAGTAGGGAAGAAGGAGGAAAGTGTGGGGGGGGGGAATAACCAAAATATACTGTATGCAAAAAAAATTTTAATAAAAAAATAAAGGATAGAGGGAAAGGAGGTGTTAGCCAACAGAATGGAAGATTAGGAATTGGTAAAAAGCAAACCATGTCATTAACAATAACAACCAAAACCAAACAATAATATCTAGAAGTAAAAGAGAATTAGTCTAAAGAGTCGCAACATCTTCCAGGCATGGTAGTTCATAATCAGAATCCTAGTACTTAAGCGGCTGAGACAGAAGGATTGCTGAGAGTTCTAGGCTATACTGGGCTGAATAGTAACTACCAGGCCAGCCGGGGCTACATATGACAAAACCTTGTCTCAAAACAAACAAGCTGCTGATGACTGAAAAAAAAAAAAAAAAAGTTCTCTTATAACCCTGATCTTTAGTTTCTTTTTTTCAAATATTTTAGCAATCTAAAGCCATCTTCAATAAGAAGAAAAGATACTACTTAGGTTTTGGAAAAAGAACTGACAACAGTAGGTGGCTGAATAAGGGCTGTGGATATCTTTATTATTAATGGCATTCATGATCATTTATGTAGTATTGATATAGTATACTTCTTTGTAATACATTGTCAATTGTTGTAAAAAGTATTTACTTTTTCAAACTATAAGTACAACTATATTTTGCCAACTTGATGTATGACACTATGTCCCACATACTGAACAGCATTAGAAGAAGATAAAATGTACTTTAAAAATCAAAATCTTTCTGTCTGGGGAGTTAAGTCAGTCTGTACAAGCCCAAGGACCTGACTTCTAGCCACCAAGTCCATGTTAATAAAGCAAACATGCTTGTCAATCAGCACTGGGGAGGTGGGAACAGGAAGATCCCTGGAGCTCACTGGATAGCTAGCTAGACTACTTAGTTGGCAAGTTTCTGACCACTGAGAGATTCTGAGCTCCAGAGGGATGATACCAGAAGTTGAGCCCCAGCTGTCAGACACATGTACACCCACATGAACATACAGAACCATTAACTTTTAAAGAGGAGCCAACAATAAGGAAGGAATTACCATGTTGCTGCACACCACCCAGCTTTCTTTCATGCATACATTTGGATTATGTGTCAAGGCCCAAAAGTAAGAAAGCTTTTGAAAAGTGAAACTAACTTATACATTATTATATTTTTACATTTTCATTTCTAATGAAAGGTTTTAATTTATGAATTTCTTAAAAATTAAAAAACAAAAGATTAGAAACATATTAAATGTAATAATTCACAGTCACATATACATCTGAAGTTCTTTCAAAATATAAGGAATGTCCTAGAGCCAAGGGAACTTAAATAATACCATTCCTATCCCTCAACATTATGTGATGCCATCAATATAAGTACTGGAGAGTTAAAAATAAACTTTTACCTAAAAGCAAGAGGAATCATCTAAGATATCATCTATATCATTCTCAAGATAAAATTTAAAGTGGAAAATATTTTCTGGAATACATTATACAAACCCTTGCAAATAAAGCATTTGAGACTTAGTGTTCTACAAACCCTAGCAAAAGAGAACATAGAAAATAATATAAACCTGCAAAAGAGAACACAGAAAATAATATAAACCTGCAAAAGCTACAGTGGGCAATACGGCATCCGTAATCTCCTACAAGAGCAACGACGGCTCCGAGGGCCACAGACGACAGCTTCTGCAGTGACAGTGGCCCACAAAACACAACAAAGATAAAGTGTCTAAATTAGTGAAGAACAGAAAGATTTTTAAAGGCTAAAACAGTTGGTATAAATTATGGATTCATTAAAAAAATTAAAGTACAAGAAAGAAAAAAATATTGGTATAAAAATGTAAACTCAAAACTGACAGTTTTGGGAATGAACATCAAGAACAGAAATCAGAGAGTTCACTGTACTTAAATCTAAGATAAAATAGTAAACCAAGTATATTTTAGATTTTAAAAAATAACAATAATAACATGAATATACTAAGCTTCTAGCAAATACACTTATGAAGACTGGACTTCTTGTACTCAATTTTTGCTGTTATATTATGTGACTCTTTTGGATAGTTTGATCTATTCATGGATCTATTCATGGATATTTGATCTATTCATGATTGATAACAATAAGGTTAAAGTTTATAAAAAAGAATATAAACTTATTCATGGAACTGTTTTGTAGGTTTATAATAAAAATTTCCAAGTTTGAGCACAAGCAGAGGAGACCAACAAATGTTAGTCACTGTGTTACCAGGGATTTGGATTTTTAATGAGGGCCTTGGGGTCCAATGAGGGCCTTCAGGGTTCAGACTGGATGCTACAAGATGCAAAAGGCACTCTCTTCTTAGGGTATCTGAGAGCAAGTGAATTCTCTCACACTGCACTGTTCCAAAACAAGTCTCTTTATTCTTCTGCTTCTATTCTAGTTCTCCTGTCCTTATTCTAATTCCCCCTAGCTTCTTTTCTTGTAGCCTAAAACCTCTCTTTCTTACAGAAGTCTTGAAGCTATAAAAAAATATTACAAGAGTTATCTCTCATTGGTCAAAAGCACATTCCTAGGGTAATTGATAAGAAGCTGGCAACGGTTACAGGAGTAAGACTGAAATCAGACCAGGGCAGGGGACAACAGTGCCCAGTGACATACTTTGAGACATAGGTCTACTGTCAGCATACTTGGCAAGCAAAGAGTTAGCATGCTTTTCTTAGGGTGCTTTGTGTTAGCAACCTTGGTTGGACATTTGTGACTCTGACCCTGTGCATAGCTGTAAAGTCAAACTTATGATCTATTTACAAAAAGCCTTTAGTCTAGTTTGAACTTGTTCTGAGGTAAAATCAAGTGAACTGTGTCCAGTTAGTCTGAGAACAAGGAAGAGACCAGGCTTTTAAACATCTACAGTCCTTGTGGGACAAATAGATTTAATTATGAAGCATGTCCTAGCATATTTTCTATGTGTCAAAATTACAAGTAAATCAAAAGTCACCTTCCTGACCACCCTCAGAAATATGTGCCCAGAAGACTGAGCTGTAATGATGAGATTACTTATACACATCACATAAAATCGCACACTACAATGCAGGTACTGGGGAGACACCAAGCTGTTTTAGCAAGTGTGATCAAAAGTTTCCAGAGTGGATGGTCCTGGGTCCTGAAGATCTAGCCTGGACAGGATTAACTGCCATCAGAGAATCACTGCTCTCATGGGTTGACATCTGAATACTAATTGTCTGCTGCAACTTTCATGGCCTCCAACAGATTTTAAAGTGTAAACAGAGGCGAGGAGTACAGGAGGGTCTGGAAAGCTGTCATTCATAGTGAGATGAAAACATAGAGCCCATCAATCCCATCTGGTGTATGCTCTATGAAGGAGCACAGTATATTTTATGTTACTTTTTGCTGTTTAGAATTTTTATCTGTTTTGATTAAAAACAAAAAACCAAACCAAACAAAACAAAAACCTTCAACTGAAGAGTTTCAATGGTATTTTCAGGCTTTAGCTGTTGAGTTGACATTTTTTTTTTTTTGTTCATTCTTTTGCTATTTTCACCTAAAAGTTTTGGCAAGATGCTGGTATAGTGCTTGAAATCATCAAATTACAACCGAATCAACCAGCTTCAGTACAATGATACAGCACATTTCTAAGGTGGACACTACGGTAATAATGAAGTACTGCTTAGTAGAACATTCTTTATGATGATCTGGGCAGGTTAAAGAGCACAAAGGCATGGAAGGTCCCCTCACCTCTGAACGGAAGCCACCAGCTCCTTTTCCTTCTTCTTCTGGCACAGTAGCTGCATTTCTTTGTCTTGACACTGCTTCTTGATCTCCTCAAGCATCTTCTCTGTGTCTATCAAAGTCTCTTGCAAATTCTTGTTTTTTTCTTCAAGAACTTGAAGCTAAAGAAAAATGTTTACAGTTTGAATTGCATGCAATCCTAAATATACTGCCACTAAAATTACTACTCTCTAAGGGTTAAGTAGACTTATCACTTACAGTCACTCTATATTTCATCTAAAGAACTTCCTTCACACCGCCTCTTCCTTTATTTGAAAGAGTTGGGAGAACTGATTATGAAGCAGAAAACTAATATTTAATGGAACACAGAAAGTTCATAATGTAAAAATTTTTTGGAACACAAAATAGTTCATAATGTAAAAAAAAAATTTAAAAAATATATAATTAAGAGTCTCGATGTGAGCCTGCACAGAAAGAATGTGAGTTAGGTGTTCTCCAGTAGGATTAGACCATGTAGCCTGCCTGGCCCTCTACTCACGGATAGAGGGAGGGAGCTGGAGGCAGAACAAAGCACTGTCTATCAGCCGCCATTCCTGTCTTGCCCCTTCACCCTCCAGTAGAGAGAAGAGAGGATAAAGGCTTGAACCCACACCCACCAGAAGAGAGAGAGACCCCACTTGTACCCACTGGAACAAGAGATGGGAAGAAGACAGTGTAAGAACACATATAACAACAGAAAGACTTAATATGACACCACCAGAGTCTAGGAATTCTATGCTAGCATGACATGAATATCCCGATGCAGATGAAACAGAAGAGAATGACCTTAAAAACAACTTCATGAAAATGATAAAGGCCCTCAAAGAAGACATGAGAAAATCCCTTAAAGAAATGATAGAAAAAACAAAACAAAACAAAAAAAAAATGCAAGAAATCACCAAGTCTCTTAAAGAAAGCAAGGAAAGCCAAGAAAAAAACAATCAAACAGAGGAAGGAAACTATTCAAACAGTTCAAGACCTGAAAACTGAAATAGAGACAACAAAGAAAATACCAACTGAGGGAATGCTAGAAATAGAAAAGCTGGGTAAGCGATCAGGAACTACAGACACATGCATAACCAACAGAATACACAAGATCAAAGAGAGAATCTCAGGTGCTGAATATAAGCCAGAGGAAATAGATTTATCCACCAAATAAAATCTTAAATTCAAAAAATGCTTTGACTCCAAAATTTAAGTTGAAGGACAAGTTACTGGGGAAAAGGATTTCTATTTTTGTTTCCACAGAAAATGAAAAGATGTGGATTCCTTCCAGACTATTGTGGTTTGATCACGCCAGACCGCCTGAAACACAGTACAAGCTGATCCTACATTTAAAACAGCTGGACAAAACAGCCCTACAGACTACAGCCAGGATATCTGAATCTTCTTCGAATCCCCCAAGACAGCGCCCCTTACCAGCAGGAAGTAGTTTGGAAAGAACGACGCCCAAATTCCCAAATATTGTGTATAAATGTCTGTTTTCATTTAATTGGACTTTGTTATATAAAATTAAATAAAAAAATCCAAAAGAAAAAAAAAAGAAAAAAAAATCTTAAATTCAACAAATCCTTAAATTAAAATATCCAGGAAATGTGGGATACTGTGAAAAGACCAAACCTAAGACTAATAGGTATAAAAGAAGGCAAAGAAGCCCAGCTCAAAGGTGCAGAAAACATATCCAACAAAATCATAGAAGAAACTTTCCTAATATGAAGGACGTGCCTATGAAAGTACAAGAAGCTTACCAAACACCAAATATACTGGAACAAACAAAAACAAAAACAAAAAAAGAGAAAAGAAAAGAAAAAGAAACCCTTAACACATAATATTCAAAACACCAAACATACAGAATAAAGAAAGAATATTAAGAGCAGCAAAGAAAAAAGGCCAAGAACCATAAAAAAGGGAGAACTATCAAAATTACACCTGACTTCTCCATGGAAACTCTGAAAGCCAGAATGTCCTGGAAAGATGTTCTACAAACACTGAGACACGGATGCCACCCCAGACTACACACTCAGCAAAATTGTGAATCACTATAGATGGAGAAAACAAGATATTCCCTGACAAAACCAGATTTACACAACACATATCCACAAATCCAGCCCTACTGAAAGTTCTGTAAGGAAAACTCCAACAAAAAGAAGTTAGCTATACTCACAAAAGCATAGACAATAGATAATAAAGGGACTAATAGAAGTTATGACCCAATTGGGTTTAACAGACATTTTTAGAATATTCTATCCAAAAACAAAAGAATATACCTTCTTCTCAGCTCCTCATGGAATCTTGTCTAAAATCGACCACACACTGGGCAATAAAGCAATGTTAACAAATACAAAAAAAAAAAAAAAAAATTGGAATACCCCCCTGTATCTTGTCAGACCACCATGCTTTAATGTTAGAATTCAACAACAACACAAATTGGAGAAACCCTACAAACTCATGGGAATTGACGATGCGCAACTGCACCATTCCTGAGTCAAGGAAGAAATAGAAAGAAATTAAAGACTTCCTAGAATTCAATGAGAATGAAGACAGAACATACCCAAACTTGGGATACTTTGAAAGCAGTGCTATGAGGAAAGTTTATAGTAGTAAGTACCCACATGAAGAAACTGAAGAATAGTCACATTAGAGAATTAACAGCACAACTGAAAGGAAATAATTAATGCCAGGAAATAATAAAATGGAGGTGTTAAATCAATTAAGTATAAACAAAGAAAACAATACAAAGAATCAACATAATAAAGAATTGGTTCTTCAAGAAAATCAACAAGATAGACAAACCTTTATCCAAACTAACCAAAAGACAAAGAGAGAACACACAAATTAGCAAAATCAGAAATGAAAAGGGGGACATAACAATGAACACTGAGGAGTTCCAGACAATCTCAAGGTCATACTTTGAAAACCTGTACTCCACAAAATTAAAAAATTTAAAGGAAATGGAGAATTTTATGAATAGATATCACTTACCAAAATTAAATTAAGAACAGATAAGCAATTTAAATAAACCCCCAATGAAATAGAAGCAGTCATCAAAAGTCCCCCAGCCAAAAAGAAGAGAAACATCACCCTTTACAAACAACATAAACCAAACATAATGCTAACCAAACAAATGAAAGACATGTACATCAAGAACTTTGTGTATTTAAAGAAAGAAATTAAAGAAGATACCAGAAAATTGTATGCTCTTCGATAGGTAGGATCAACACAGGAAAAATGGCAATCTTGCCAAAAACAATCTACAGATTCAATGCAATCCCCATCAAAATCCCAGCACAATTCTTCACAGACCTTGAAAGAATAATCCTCAACTTTATATGAAAAAAAAAAAACAAAAAACAAAAGAACCAAGATAGCCAAAACAACTCTGTACAATAAAGGAACTTCCAGAGGCATCACCATCCCTGACTTAAAGCTCTATTACAGAGCTACAGTCATGAAAACAGCTTGGTATTGGCACAAAAATAGACAGGTAAACCAAGGGAATTGAATTGAAATCCTGATATTAACCCACACATCCAAACACCTGATTTTTGACAAAGTAGCTAAAATTATAGTGGAAAAAAAAGAAAGCATCTTCAACAAATGGTGCTTGCATAACTGGATGCTGGCATGTAGAAGATTGCAGAGAGATCCATATCTATTGCCATGCACAAAACTTAAATCTAAATGGATCAAAGACCTGAACATAAATCTAGCAATACTGAACCTCTTACAAGAGAAAGTGGGAGGTACCCTTGAATGAACATAATATGAATGAACATAATACCTGTAGCACAGACACTGAGATAGACAATTAATGGGGCCTCCTGAAACTGAGAAGCTTCTGTAAGGTAGAGGACACAGTCAACAAGACAAAACTACAACCCACAGAGTGAGAAAAGATCTTCACCAACCCCACATCTGACAGAGGACTGATCCCCAAAATACACAAAGCTAGTCACCAAAACACCAAATAATCCAATTAAAAAGTGGGGTACAGAACTAAATAGAGGGGTACAGAACTAAATAGAGAATTCTCAATAGAGGAATCTAAAATGGCTGAAATACACTTAAGAAAGTGTTCCACATCCTTAGCCATCAGGAAAATGCAAATCAAAACAACTCTGAGATACTATCTTACTTCTGTCAGATTGGCTAAAATCAGAAACACCAATGACAGCTTATGGTGGAGAGGATGTGGAGAAAGGGGAACACTCCTCCACTGTTGGTGGGAGTACAAACTTGTAAGGCCACTTTGAAAATCATGGTCCCCTGAAGAGGAAAGGGACAAGATCTCCCAAGCAAATTGGGAGCATGGGGGGATGTATCCCTAGTGCACAAAAGGACTTTGGGAACCCATTCCCCATGGAGGGATACTCCCTTAGCCTAGAGGGCCTAGAGGGCACAGAGGAGGGCCACAAATGACTTGACATTTTGATGATCCCTCATGGAAGGCCTCACCCTCCCTGGGGAGTGGATGGAGGATTGAATGGGGAGGGGTTGTAGGGGGATATAAGAATGGGAGGGAGAGGAAACTGGGATCAATATGTAAAATAAAAATATTAAATAAAAAATATATGCAATTAACATCATAACATAACCATGTCTGGATGCATGACTCTTTACTATTAGGGACATCCAGACTGTTCTTACCTCACTTCATGATTTGATTGCTTTTGAATCTTACACAGTATAACCATACAATATTGCCTATTTATGACTGGCTTCCTTACTATTCTTACTTTATTATAAAATGTTCTCCACGACTATCCATGCTGAAGAATGTGCCAGAATTTCCTTCCTTTATAAGATCCAACATCATTCAATTCTATGTATGCACATACTGTCTATGTGTATCTATTCATCCTTTTGTGAAAACTTTATTGGTACTGTTTTTTATCCTTGTAAATAACGCTGCCATATACAGGGTCTATGAGGCCCATGATTCTTGGTAGTGGCTATACTAACAGGTGTTGGGTATTATTATCCCATGTGTTTTAATCCTTTACTGCTGCCTCTACCTGCTTGTGTAATTTCCTACGATCCTTTAGTGCCTTCCTATATTTAATCTTTTAGTTTTAATTTTAAATATTAACTTTGTCTAAATACATCCTAAAATTATATAAATAATTCTCAACTGAAGATGATTTTTACAAGATGGTTTTCCACAAGAAATTGACAAATATCCATCATTTGCTTTTGCAGTATGATCATCTAGGAGGCAGAGGTTAGAAGGACTAATTACAACAACTACGTATCCTGAAGTGCACAAGGTAGACCACTCAGAGCGGCTGCTCCCCAAATGTTGTTTGAGCCTAGGTTCAGAACCCATGGCTTGGAAGGACTGAGATGACTGGAGTGCATTCATGTTTCAAGAGGCCTTCACCAGGACTGGTAAAGAGATGGAATGAGGTATTAAGAAGGAAACTAGAAGTCAAAAGAGTGAAGAGAGGTTATGGATCACAGTGTATTAAAAAATTAAAACAAGATTAAGAAAGTGAAGAAGATAAACATTTATAAAGACACTTGACAAGTCTCAAACACCCTTGAATCCCAGAGAACATTGAACAAAACTAAAACTAGAGTGAATATGGATATATGATATAGAGTTAACAGCTAGGTTTAGAAACTGCTACCTTCTGAAAACAACATGTTAGGGGCCAAAGAGATGGCTCAGCAAATAAAGGTGTTTTTCAGTACAAGACTGATGGCTGAGTTTGATACCTGAAACCCATGTAATAGTAGAAGAACAGAATCAATTTCACAACATTGTCCTCTGACCTCCATATACACATCACACATATACACAATAAATAAGAAACAGAGTTCAAAATTAGAACTAAGTAAGACAGTAGATTTAATACCATGTAGATCTATTTATTTATTTATTTTGAACAGTTTAGAATCAAATTATACCTTAGGAGCAGTAAATGAGTATGTAATTTTCTAAGTAGCTAAATCTCTAAAACACTCTGCATATTTTCAAAGGTGCATGTTTGAGCACATTACCTGTAGACTCTGACTTTGTACATCATCTAGAGTTGGAAGATCTGCCAGGTACTTTTCCAAGGTCTCAATTCTTCTCTGCTTCTCTTTATTCTGCTCAGATTCCTTCTGGCATTTCTTTTTCAGGCTGTTGATGTATCTATCTCTGGTTTTCAACTAAAGAAAAACATTAATTAATCCCCAATTGTTTTGAGTTACTGAAAATTACAAAATCAGTGTTTCATTCTTTGGGTATCATTGAATTTATCAATGAGTCTCAGATTACAGTAAATATCATCAACTGAGTTAAGATCTGCCTTATTTTATTCTAAGATTCTTTTTCTTTTCCTGAAACCACCATAGATCTGAAATAAAGAATCTAGAGGATATTTGTATTAATCCAGGGGCAGAAATGATCAAATTTTTATTGCCTATACATATACAAATTTGGAAAGGCTAGTCATATCTCTATCATGTAAATAATGTTATGTTAAAATGATTTAATTAGAACCTCATCTCTTCAGAAGGATATTAGGTACCAAGAAAGACATAGAAGCAAAGCTACAAGTAGTTTTTTTTTAATCATCAAACCAAACACTCAGCTCTAGAGGACAGATTCTAATCTCTAATTTTTCCAAAGCTATATCAAAATATTTTACATAAACTGAAAAAAAAGAAGATCAGTTATTTTGTTATTAAAAACTTGCAAACCCAGTAGAACTCACCAAATATTTAGAAACAGATAAGGAGCTATGTCAGCCAATTTACATACTTCAAGCAAGGATATTATTGCATAGTAACGTAAGTGAATTTGTAACACACTTTCTTTCCTAAAACTGCAATATTACGATACCTCACTACTGACGGCTGAGGTATGATGTGAAGTTAATATCTACTGTTGAACAAGATTAGGTAACCTCAGTAAGGCCCCAGTCTGTACAGGTTTAACGTCAGATTTTATGTCCTCATTTGTCTAACTTTAACTCACACATCTCAAATTCAGAAAACACTTTCACAACTAAGATAAATTAAAACAGCAAACAACCCAGTCAATAAACAGGCTAATGAAATGAGTGAACTGGCTATTTTCACAAAATGAAGTATAAATGGATAATCTATGCACATAAGGGAAATGCAAATTTAAGTTACCCTGAGATTAGATCTCACCCTGCTCACAATGGCTCCCATAAAGAAAACAAATTACAGAGCCCCTGGTGAGGATGTGGGGGAAGTGGACAATATGTAAATTATCCCAGCCACTATGGAAATCAGTACAGCAACTACTCATAAAACTAAAAATGGAATTACAATACGACCCAGCCTACACTGCTCCTGAGCATATGCCTCAACGACAGTAAGTCAACACCCAACATGGATACCTGCACATCCATGGTTATTAGGGCATTATTCATAACAGAAAACCTATAGAATCAATCTAGGTGCCAATCAGCATAAGAATGAATGAAGACAATAAGACAATGAGATGTTTGAATAAGAAAACACACGTATCACACACACTTCTTTACCTGTTTTGTGTGTGTGTGTGTGTACGAGAGAGAGAGAGAGAGAGAGAGAGAGAAGGAGAAGGAGGAGAAGAAGAAGAAGAAGAAAAGAAGAAGAAGAAGAAGAAGAAGAAGAAGAAGAAGAAGAAGAAGAAGTTTTTAATTCAGCCATAAAGAATGGAGTTATGTCATTTGAAATAAAATGGATGCAAATGGAGATCATCCCAGTAAGTAAACTAAGCCAGACTCAGAAAGATGATTACTATTTTCTCCCATTTGTGGACCACGGGTCTTTATAGATATATAAAACCACATATGCATGACATGAACTCTACTTATTCAGAGTGGAGGCTCCCTCCAGCTTCACTTTGTTCCCTGTATTGTCAATGAGACCAAGAAAGAAATAATTAGAATAAGGAAAATGAAGGAAATCATTAGAGTAGGCATCTGGCTTTAGAAAGTTTCACTACTAGTTAGTAAAGTAAAGAGGTCTTTAAACCTCTTCTGATAGCATAAGCTTCTTGAAAGTTGGTTTCCATAGCATTGTTTATAGTATGGATGTATACCCTGAAAGGGAACCTGGAACAGGGTTAATGACAAACAAGCATTCTTTGTTGAAGAAAGCTGTTGCTCCACCACAATCTCACACAGCATACCCACCTTTTCCTCCAATTTCTTCTTCTCTTCACTAAATTGGTTTATTCTTTGTTTGAGAAACTCATTGAGCTGTAAAACTTCTTTCTCAGTAGATGCGAGTTTTTGCTCAAGTTCTTCTTGCTGGGGATGGGACAATGACTGCTCCGAAAATGGAGTCTGGACTGAACTGCTCTCATATGGTGGCTATTGAAAAAAATAATAGTAACTAAGTCTTCAGAAGTTTACTTGTCTTGAACATATAAAAACAAAATGGAAAGGGTTACAGTGCAATAAATACCTATAAGCTTTACAGACAGACTGTCCTCAAACTAAATCCTAGTTCTTCTGCTTCCTAGATATAGACCATGATTAAATGAGCATCACTAAGACTTGGTTTACTCATCTAAAAAACAAATAATAAAGCCATATCACAATGTTTAAGTATGCAAGCTCCTAGAACATAACAAAAATTCAATGAAAGGTTGCTAGTATTTGCTTTAAAAGTACACTGAAAAATATGAATAATGTATTAAGCACCTTCATCCTACAGATGTGAAGCTTTTAAGAAAGTAATTAAACACAAACAAAAGACTGGGTGAGGTGATGAATTCCTATAATCCCAACACTCTGAAAACAAAAGAAAGAGGTTTAGAAGACCAGCATGAGTCACAGAGTAAAGGCACTATCTCAAAAAAAAAAAAAAAAAAAAAAAAAGAAAGAAAATTTTCTCCACAGGTGTTAATTTCAACTACTTAAATTCAATCAGCATTAATATACTGGTTCTATAACTAAAAGTAAGATTCAAAAAGTCATGTTTTATGTCCATGGTAGGGTGTGATCATTTACTTATCTAGAATCATGCCAGGTACCATACAAGTGCTCAAAAGTAATCATAGAATGAAATAAACTGTTTTTTCTTTTTCCATTTAGACTATTTGATGGAAATTCTTCTATAGGAAAAAAATGGGCCTCATTGGTGGAAGGGATGAACAGAAAAATAAATATGTTCCTTTAGATGAATCAAGATGAATAAGTGAACCAACAGAGAATCTGCTATTTATTCAACAGATATTTATAAGATACATAACCCCATTGGTCAAGAATGTAAGGCTAATAAACAAGGATACCCCTTGGAAAAGGGTCCAAGAAAAACAAACAAAACTAAACTGGCTAAGATGGCAACAGATGCAATAGTTAGGGGAATGTGGAAGGAAGTGACTTTGAACAAGGTCTTAAAACACTAGTGCTTTGCCAAAAGCTAGGTATTCATTCCATTTGTAAATAATATATGTCATGTGCAGGAATATTTCAGTGTTGCAGACTCTGGCACTAGCTTTTAAAAATTCAAATGTTAAAGGAGAAGTCCTAGATAATTATAGCAGCACAGGAAACAATAAAATGAGGTGACCAAATAAAGGTCACATAAAAGTACTGGACAAGAGGGAAATGAAGATAACATTGGGAAAATGAATAAATGGGCTTTAGTGGGATAGTAACTTTTGAAACAAATTTCCTTAAAAATAGGTGGATTCTGCTATGGTGGTTGATTTTTGTCAACTTGACACAAACCTAGATATATGGATACTGGACTTAAGATTAATTGCAAATATGAATGTTCTAGGGCAAACACTAAAGTTATTTAAAAAAGGAAAATATTGATATGTTTAACAAAAACATGCAGATACAAAACAATAATAGATAATATTTACCCATGTAGCTATTAAATCAACTGCACCCAAGATGACTATGAACATCCCTGGTTTAAGTGCACCAACTAAAACACAGAGACTGTCAGAGTAGAACAAAGAACAAGATCCCTATGTATCTTCCATGAGAAACTTTTATTAATGATACAAATCAGTCTTAAACAGTATAAAAGAATAACAAAATACTACAGGCTAGGTAACAGAATTGCAAGAAAATACATCAACTATAGTCACTGGAGACTTTCAACAGCTTTGGGAATGACCAGCCACAGGAGGCAAATTATCAATGAAGAAACACTTGCTCTCACAGCCCATTGGACAGCCAGATGAAGTGACATCTGCAGAATACTAATTCCTCAACTGCACCACATACTTCTGAAGTTCCTTTGAAACAGTCACCAGGAATATAGCATTCTAGTTCATAAGTGACATTTTAGAAGTTGAAAACTCATTAAATGCCTGTCTTCAGGCCACAGGTAAATTAAACCAGAATTCAAACATACACAAAAACCTGGGACATTCTAAAACAAAGCATTGCTAAATATTATATGGCTTAAAGAAGAACTCTCTAAGGAAACTTTAAAAGTCTTAGCTAAAAGATAATTGAAAATTTGTGAGATCTAAATAAAGCAGTGCTTAGAAGAAATTTATACACTGAATATATTTTATATAAGAAAGATCTAAAGTTCATGTAAGTCTTCAATGCTAGTAAACTAGAAAAAGCAGAGAAAATTAAATCCAAAGTAAATAAAGAGCAAAAAAATCAATGAAATTAAAAATAAGATACAGAAAACCCAACAAACCAAAAGTTGAGAATTTATTAAAACCAATAAAAATCAGTAATTCTTCAGGTAGGCTAAGAGAAGAAAATGAAAGAAAAGCAAAATCACTAACATTAGAAATAAAAGAAGGACTGTACCAGAACTCGTCCAGTCCCACAAAACTTTATAAACTCAATGAAATGGAACACCACCTGCCAAAAGTCACACACAAAACAAATTTGGAGACCTTTACTATATTATTAAAGAAGTTGAGTTCGTAATTAAACCATCTTAAAACAGAAACCATCATTCCGTAAACTAACCACCAAATGGACCACACACACACACACACACACACACACTATAAAATTTCCAAAACACAACAACAAAAGGAAAAGAAAAGTGGAGGACAATCTCAACCACTTGACCTGGAGTGACAAGGACTCTGAATCTCACAGAACAGGCAAGAACTGCAAAAGAAACCATTGATAAACTGACTTAGAGAGCCATCTACTGGCCCCAAACACTGTGTGCAAATGTCTTTTTTTTTTTTTTTTAATTGCTTTTTGGTAATACAATAATTGCATAATCCAAGGACAACATTTATTAAGGATGAAACTGTAGGGAAATATTGCATAGTTATTTAGGAGAAGAATATTACTGTCACATACGTGCACTATCAGTCTCAGCACTAGCCCACAGGGACTAGTTTGTAACTGAAGTCAAAGCAGAGTAGGCAGTAATGAAGTATTAAGACAAAGTGCAATCAAAAAAAAAAAACAAAAAACTAGTTACATCACTATGTAACAGTCTAACACAGTTTAATTTTCACAACACATTTGAGGGTACAATGAAAAAAACTCAATTCAAATGCGTTTTTGCAAAAACAAAAACAAAAACAAAGTAACAAAAATTATTCCACAAACAGAAGCACATACTTCCAAGAAATGTTCATTTCTTACTTTTTAATCCCAATGTAAAAAAAAAAATCTCTCTTTGGGAAGTAAATAGGCCGATTAGAAAATGAATACCGAAAAATATGCAAGTGAGTTTTAAGAAAAAAGTCACAAAGTGGAGGGAAATCATTGGAAAAGTGGCTCCGTGAGTGTTAAAGACATCAGAGACACTTTGTCTGCATTCCAACTGGATTGTATAGGCAAACTAGGCTTACTCACAACTTTATTCCCAGGTTACAGTCCTTTACCAAGATCCTGTGGAGCCCATTCCCAATGGTATATGTGCACCATAGTCAAAAACACAAACAAGCAAATAAACACTGCTTAACACATAAGAAAGAAATTGAAGGCATTAGCTATGGTAGTTTGAATGTGATTGGTCCCAACAATCTCACAGGAAATGGTATTATTAGGATGTATGGCTTTCTTGGAATGGGTATGGCCTGTTGGAGGAAGTGTGTCACTGTGGGGGCAGGATTTAGGGTTTCCTATGCTGAGGATCCCACCCAGTATCTCAGTCTACTTCCTGTTGCCTGCAAGATATAGGACTCCCAGCTACTACTCTGGCATGTCTGCCATGCTCCCCATCATGATGATAATGGACTGACCCTGTGAAACTCTAAGTGAGCCACCCTAATTAAATGTTTTCTTTATAGTAGTTGCCTTGGTCATGGTATCTTTTCACAGCAATAGAAACCCTAAGACATACATTGACAAACACACACACACACACACACACACACACACACACACACACACACACACACGGTAACACATTGGTACAATTTAAATGATGGAAATGGTTAAATTACTGAAAGTGATCTACAGACTCAAAGCAACCCTTACTTTTTCTTTTTAACTTTCATTGGTTCTTTGTGGATTTCATATCATGCATTCCTATCCCACTTAATTCTCAGTCCTTTGCATCCACCCTCTACCCTTGAGACCTCCCTCAGTCCCATATCATAACCAAATTTAAAAGAAAAATAAAAAAAAAAACAAGCAAAACAAAGGGGAACAAACAGAAAAAGAAAGAAAAGAAGAATGTATTCCAGGTAGTTGAAGTTTAGCCTATAAAGTTACATGGTTTAGCTTCAAATGGTAGCGAACTCGCTCAGCAATTTTTATTTAAAAAAAAAATCCTTCCTTGCTGCACAGTGGTATAGCATGCTTTTATCCCCCACACTCAGGTGGCAGAAGCAGGTGAATCTCTGTGAGTTTGATGCCAGCCTAGTCTACAGAGCGAGTTCCAGGACAGCTAGGGCTACACAGAGAAACCCTGTCTCCAAAAAAAAAAAACCAAAAAGTAAAATCCTATCATCATTCACATAACTAGGAAAAACTGAAACAGGGTATGAAAGCACCAAATACCCTAAATGGCAAAAGCAATCCTAAGGAGAAAGAGCAATGTTAAAGGACCCATGACAGTTAGCCTCAAATTATAGTACAGATCCATAGTAACAAAATTACCATGATACTGGCACACAGACAGACATACAAGATAAAGTGATGGAACCAGGAATAAACCCACACAGCTACAGCCACCAAATTTTTGACAAGGTTATCAAAAACATACATTGTAGAAAAGAGACTCTCCAAAAAAAAAAAATGGTGCTAAAAGAACTGGATATTTACTTACAGAAAACTGACATTGGGCATACGCCTCTCAATTTAAACATAAATAAACTATAGATTCAAGACCTTCATGTCTGACCTGAAACCCTGAAACATTTAGAGAAGGGAATGGTGAGAGACTCCGCAGGAAAGGGAGCTAACTGCCATGCCTTCAGACATGACTCTGATCACTTGTACCACTTGTCCTATGACCACGTACACGCCATGGCACATACTCACATGTACACACACACTGATTATATTTAAAAAAAAAAAAAGCTCCTAAAGATATAGGCACAGGCAAGGGTGTTGGGAAAGGATGCCAACATCTCAGAAAACAACTGCAGAAACTGATAAAATATGAAATAAATTTTTCAGCAGCAAAGAGACAGTCTATAGAATGGGAGAATGTCATTGGCAACTATACATCCCACAGTGCATTAACGCATAGTTTCTAAAAGAAACTAAAAATAAATAAATATAAAAAATCCACCGAATTAGCCAATCAATAAATGAGCAAATGAATAGTTTTCAAAAGAAAAGATACAATAGCTAATAAATATTTGAAGAAATGATCAAAACCTTCATCGTGGGGAAACGAATACAATGAAATTCTTTATCACTCCACACCAGAATGTCTATCACTTTTTAAAAGCCAGCAAGGCTGGGAAAGAAGACCTGCTAAGCACAGTGGTGGGAGTGGGAACAGGTGCAGCTACTAGGAAAGCAGCTGCAAGTCCTTCAAAAAGTAAACCAGTACTGACATACGATCGATCGAGCAGGAAGGAAGCTAAGCATACCAGAGACACTTTGATGCCCATGTTTATTGTTACACTATTTGCAATAGTCAAAATATGGAACTAAGTAGATACCAATCAACAGATGAATAAAGGAAATGTATGTGTACAAGAATGAGTTTGTTCAGCTCTAAAGAAAAATGAAACTTATTTGCATGTTAACAGAAATAAGCCACATGTAGAGTTCCCATTTAAACATACACATATGCATCTATATAACAGAAATTTCATCTCTCAGAACTTTAATTTACAAAAATAAATGTATATGCGGAGCAAAACAATACAAAAGGTTACTCTTAGCAACATCATTTATAATACATGCAAATGGCAAACAACCTTAATTTTAATGAGTAAGATATGGTTGCATAAATTATGATTTCTATAAAATAGAAAATCATATAGCTACAAGAGGATGAAAATAGAGCGGTTTATGTAAAATGATATAAAAATGATTATGTTTTGTATAATTCTATATTAATAAGAATGATACCAGGTAAAAACAATGCACATATTCTTAGGGATTTTTGTAAATGTACAGAACTAAAATGCATTTTCATCTGTTTACAGTATGCATCAACTCTGGAAATGTACCCTAGAAACTGTTGATAGTTTATTCTGTATGTGTGTGAGAAAGGGATGTGAAAAGGACAAAGGGAAGAAAGTAGTTGACCACCTTTTACAAACATGAGCTATGAAAATTCACTGCTATTTCAAAACACTGATTTAACGTGCCCTCATGTTATAAAGAAAGTATACTGTAAGTATACATAAAGAAAGTATACTGAAGCATACTTCAAGATAAAAAGAGTTCTCTAGGCTTACCTGCAAACTGTTCATATAAGATTCTTCACAATTTACATAATGTCCTAGCATGGCATGCTGTGCCCGTAGTTCATTATCCCTTATCCTTTCGTGTAGGTGGTTAATTTGTTGCTTCTGCCTGTAAAACATAAATTGAAGTCACATTATAAAGAATACACTTTCCTAAGAAATAGTGAAGAGTAATTTTAGTATTCTACTTTTTAAAAAGTGTGTAAAAATTTTGTCTTGTTTCAGCCACTTGGGGAAATTAGTTAACTAAACACTTCTTTTCTATGCAAAAGAAAAGAAAACCATGGGATTAAGGGGATAGCTCAATATATGCTTTCCACCCAAACATGAAGAACAGAGTTCAAATCCCCAGAACCCATGTATATGTCAGACAAACATGAAAGCTACCTGTAGCATTCAGGATGCAGAGATATGATCTCCAGGGGAAGCTGGGTAGCTAGACTACCTGGAATTGGGTAGCCATTGGGTCAGTTAGCCATCCTGTCTCAATAAATAAAGTGGAGAAGGGTCTAGGAAGACACCTAAGATCAATTTCAGGCCTACATACACATACAAATACTTTAAGCATACTTCAGACATATATAAGTAAATATGCACACACACACACACACACACACACACACACGAGGAAAAAGCAAGACTGGAAGAAGTTACCCACAACACAATAATAATATGTATAATATATGTATGTAAACAGACAGAAGTCTACATTATCAATTCATGAACTACAGATTCAAAACTCCTGGAAACTATTCTTCTGAGAAAATTTAATAAAGATACCCTTTCAAAAAATTAACAGATATACAGTTTGTTTTTTAAAATTTTCTCAGCAACTAATTTCTTAGATATTCTAATTCTTTTCCTGCACTGAATTCCAAGCTACTGTAAATTATTTTTCTGCTAACATGATTGTGATAATTGCCTGATGTCTCACCTGTGGCTGGTGTCTGAAGCAAAGAAAGGGTTGCTGGGAACCATGGCTTTGATCCTGTGGAATCTAATACTAGCTCACCAATGTTAGAATTGACCTGTGGAACTGACCAGTAGAGATTGGGGCAATATACTTAAAAATAATCTATTATGGATTCAATAATGCTATGTACATAAATATAAACAACTAAAATAAAAAGTAAACTACCAAAACTGTATGTAGGTGTTCAAAATTAACCAATAACTGTGATGAAAAAATAACCACCACTTCTTCACTACAGTGTCCGCCTCAAAGGCAAAGATGCGCATCCTAAATCACCATTCATGCCAGGTTTCCTATTCATTTCTTCCTCTTTGGTTAGCATAAAAGTTGTAAAGTTTCATTACAGCATCATCATACATGTGTCACATGTTGCTCGAATTTGATTTCTTCCCCAGCCCTCCCCCAGGCCTTCTGACCTGGGTCATTACCTTCCGTCCTTAAGTTTTCTTATCATATGTATTCCATTATTTTATTCCTCCCTCCTACCAGGTGTGTAAGGACTCATCTGTCCCCGTGTCCCCTGTGTCAGTGAGAAGTGATCTCACCACATCTGTTGCCACATAATTTCTTGAAAACAGGCATTCTAACTGTAGTGAGACTAGACTTGCATTTTCTAAACTTTTCAAGCATTTATTGGCTATTTGTGTTTTTCCTTTGGTTAATTAGGCCATTTTCTAATGAGATAACTTAGTTTTGTGATTTCAATTTTTATAGTACTTTATAAATTCAAGATACTAATCCCCTGTATAAAATAAAGTTGGTAATGTTTTCTTCATTCTGTGGGTGGTCTATTCATTTTTCAGAGTATTCTATGTCTTCCTCTGGCAGCTGCAAGGTTTCAGGTTTGCACTGAGGTAGTGAATCTTCCTTGAATTGTTAGTTTTATAGGGTAAAAGATCTAATTTTATTCTTCTACATGTAAGAATCCAGTTTTCTCAGTGCTGTTTCTTTTGGGGGGAGTAGGGAGTTTAAAATTTATATAGATTTATTTTCTATAATTTTTTAGAATGAGATAAAATGTACATCTCAAAAAACTTACCATTTTAACTTTTTCAAGTGTACAATCCAGTGGCCTTAAGAATATCCACACTACTGTGCAGCCACCGTTACCATCTGTCTCCAGACCTTTTTTTCCTTGTAAGGCTGACATGTGAGGCTTTGCTATTTTCTTGAAATTGGGAATTTGACATCATGCAATACCACTCATCTCCCAGCCCCTCTGTATCCACCCCTCGCTCTTGTAGTGCCCCCACAAAGAAATAAAAAAAAAAAAAAAAAAACACTAGAAATGAGATAAAGTTCACAATGATTTATTTCAAAAAGGAAAAACACTTCACTCCTTCATCTTTCCTGCCTCTCCATTGCCTCTTCGTTCATCCTAATGGCACTGGGAACTGCAGTATTTCATGGAGCATATACCCCTTTGTCCAAAGAGCATTATTTGCATATGTTCACTGTGCAATGAGTTGTTGGACAGATTCAAGGCCTCTGGCTTTGGTACACCACCAAAATTAGACCCCACCAATATTTCCACCAATATTCGAGTCCTGCCCCTAATAGAAGAGATGGCTCCCCATTCTTAGGAAAGCTCACCCCACCCCTCACCATGGGCCTTGGGGAGCTGGCTCAACCCCTCATCTGAGAGGAGCCAGTCCCAGGGGCCTAGACTGACCCTCTCAGCTGCCACCCAGGCACACATCTAAGGCTTCCCTTCCCAACGTCTAGCTCATCTGTGATCTGCTGGAGTGTGTTAAGGAACTGATCCAGCAACCATATGACTATGACTCGGGGCAACAGCTGTATACCAGTACCATTTCTTAATGAGACTGTCTTTTCTCCAGTGTGTGTTTTGACGCCACTGTGGTTGTAGCTGTGGAAGTTATTTCTGGGTCTATATGTCTATTTTTGTGGCAATACCATGTTGCTTTGTAACTGTGTTTCTGTAATAATTTAAAATCAGGTACACTGATAGCTCCACCATTGTTCTAAGGATTACTTTGACTACTAAGGAATTTTGTTCCTCTAAATGTATTCTGTAAGGGTTTTGTCTTGTCATCTTGATAAGAGACAGTTTTAGGTATCCCAGGTTGGCTTTGAGCTCACTACATAGTCCAAGGGAAATCTTGAACTTCTGTGTATACTTGTTATTTATTTTTTTTCAGAATTTCATACATGTATACAGTGTATTTTAATTATATCCCCCCTCCCCATGCTCTTCCCACTAATTCTCCCGCTAATTCGCCAAAATGTCCCCATCTCTACTCCATGTAGTCTTTTTAAAAATAACTGAGTCCAATTAGTGCTTCCTTTATATGCATGAATACAGATCCCTCTACCAGGAACAACATCCCTGAATAAATCTGACATCAACTGTCAACAGTTCTCTGCTAGAGGTAGGGCTTTAGGACTCCCCACCCATGCTGGTCTTGTACAGGCAACTACAGGTACTGTGAATGCATGTGTGCAACAGTCCTATCGTGTTAAACTGTTTTTACAGAAACATCTAGATCTTACAGCTTTCCACCCCACCTTCCATAATGATCTGAGCCTTAAGGAGGCATGGAGGAGGATAGACCTGTAAATTGGGTTAAGAACCTATTTTATTATTTTGCTAAATGGACATAATATCTGATACTTACCTTTATATCAATAGAATAGAACACTTCTGTAACCTCAACAAAAACGATTCCCACTATATGGGGCCTTGAACCTGTTACCCTCCTGTCGCCATGGTCCAGAGCACTAGGATTACAGGTACATACACCACATCTGGTTTAAATAGTGATGGGAACTGAATTTGGGGCCTTGTGTATGTCAGGCAAGCACTCTACAAAGTAAATCATATTCCCAGCCGCACAATCAAATTTTAATTTTAGAATTTTTTTTCCTAATTCCTTGTAAGAATATCATTGGAATTTCAATGGTAATTTCCTTGGCTTTGTAGATTTCTTTTGATAGTTTAGTCATTTCTATAAAATTAATTCAGCTATTCCATGAGCATGGTAGTTTTTGTTTTTTGTTGTTTTGTATTTGTACTGTTTTTTTTTTTTTAATCTTCTAAGTATCTTCTCCAATTTTCTAAGAGCCTTAAAGTTTTCATAGTAGAAATTTTCATTTCTTTGGTTAGGTTTACTCCTAGGTATTTTATTTTCATTGATGCTACTGTGAATGGGATTTTCACTTCTTAGCATATTTATTTATTGATGTATAAAAACACTACTAATTTTTAAAATTTTGATTTTGTTTCTGCTACTTTGATAAGTGTCAGACTCTTTGTGGTCTTTAAAGTACAGGATCCTACCCCACACTAAATAAAACCATGTCACCTATAAATAGAGGTGATCTCTTCCTTTCCTATTTGTATCACATATATATGGATATAATGCCTTAGCTAAAGTAATAATAATAATATCAACTGCTTTTACATGAAACATTACTACTTCCATCTCTTCGATGGTTGCAGGTCAATTTAAGTTGTTGTAAATGGCTAGTATTTGAACATCTATTGCGTTTTTTAAGGACTGGGAAATTTTCTGCTATAATCTCATTGACTAGGTGCAGTGTGTTTTTAGCGTTTGTCTCACACCTCCTTGTTCTATCCCATGGGTCCTCAGGTTTGGTCTGATCATCATATCTCAGAGGTCTGAGAACAGTGGTTCATGTTTTTCTTTACTGGTGCTTGCATGTGGCATTTTATCAACCCCATCCTCCATTTTTGAAGATCTTTCTTCTGCCTGGTCAAGTCTATTCCTGCTGTTTTCAGTTTGATTGAGTTTTTCATGTCTAACAATTTTTTTTTTTTTTGCAAAACTTCAAATTCCAAGTTCAACTTTTCTCCATCCTACTGAATTTTTCATACACATTGTTGATTTCCTTCCATTTTGATGACTTCTTGCTCTGTGTTGCTTACATTCTGAGGATTTCAGGTTTTTATATTCTCTTTCATATCCTTGATCATTATCAACAAGAAACTTTAGAAATCTTCATTGGGAATTTCACTCATTTCAATATACTTACTTGAGTTGAATAGTTGAATAATTATGATCTTTTGAAGGAGTCATGTTGCTTTGCCACCCAACCCCACCCATGTTTCTGGTAAATTCTGTGCTGTAATCTGTGTGTACTGCTATTTTCAGTTCTGTTCTCTCTCCTCTCCTCCCTTTCTCTCCTCTCCCTTCCCTCATGTAGCCAAAGCTAGCCTTCAACTCACTATGTGGCCACAGATAGCCTTGAATTCATGTTGTTCCTATCCCTTTGCCTCTACCTTCTAAATCCAAAAATACAGGCATTCTAACTACTCCCAGTTTTAGATGGTCCTAGGGTACTATGTATTCTAGGCAAGGGCTGAGCTATGGTCCCAGTCCCCTTAAACTTTGACCATTTAGGAAATATTAGCATTCTTTTTCCCCTTTATGGCATTGGACACTGAATCCAGGGACTTGTGCTCATGAGACATTTTACTACTGAACTGAGTTCCATGAGACATTTTACTACTGGACTGAGTCCCATGAGACATTTTACTGCTGGACTGAGTTCCAGCCCTGTGTAGCCTACCCTTGAAGGCTCAATCCCTGGCTCAATTCACAAAGTGAAAACACACTAGTTTTAGAAGTAGCTACTGCTTCTCCTTCATACTTGCTAAGAAACTAGGCAGCTGATGATGTTAAAGTTCCTTTTATACTTCACTCCATTTTTTCCAGCTCTTTTTAGCTATCTTTTTACTTCTTTATCATGCACACAAAAACAAGCAACAATTAACACGGGCTTCAGAAAAAAAAAATCCTCTTCAAACAAACTCTAAAGTATCTTAATTTGAACACCTTTGACAATACCAGTATATACAACCATATATTTTAAAGATAACATAACACAGTAATAACCTCATGATTATTGCCCAAAACATTTCTAGTAAGTCTAAATGAATTCTTGATAACTCTGGTACTAAAATATTAAAAGATTTAGATGTTGTAAAGGAACCCCTTCCATAATTCTTACTCTAGACTATATAAATTTAAAAATATATCCTTTTCATATTTATGTAGTCTCCAATCTAATATTTACTAGTTAAAATAACTCATAACTTTAGTGTGGCTGACCAAATCTATAATGATATCACCTTGCAGCTCTGACAAACGCAGCATGTGGAGAAAGGTAGAGACTATCTTCAAAGGATGAATCTCACTAAAGCAAATGTAGAGCATGTCAGAAACCAGACAGACACACCTACCCTCAGTTCTGACAGCTCTTGCATGCCGTAGGACTAGAGAGGGCAGACATGAGACATTAATTTGTAATTTCAAATTCCTAGTGGGTGGGATTGCAATTATTTCATCAATCTACAATTTTACAATCTGAAATAGTAATTAAAAGGCAGACTTACCTATCGATTACAATTTCCTTCTGCCTGAGAAGTCCTTCTTTTATTTTCAACACTGATTCCCACTTACTGAGATCCTGAAACCCAGAAGGCGAGTAACTCTGACGAGATGATCCAGGCAAAACCTGCACAAAAATTTTATATATTTAGAATGCTATCTAAGGGAAACACTTACAGAACATCCAGTATTTCCCCCAATGGTTTCCATTAAAAAAAGAAAGGAAGAAAGAAAAACAGATCTCTCTCCTCCTCCCCCTCTCCCACAAAAGACTGTCTAAGAGCACATATACAGAACAAGCCATCAAGCAGTTTTTCCATGGTTTTGCCCCCAGTTTCCAGCCTTGAGTTCCTGCCCTGACCCCTCAGCGATAGACTGGGTTAAGAAGGCTTCCTAGACCAGGTATTATTAAGTACAATATACAAGACCTTTAGTAGCTAAAAGCAGTAAACCATATAGAGCTTTTCCGCCACCCTCTCAATCTCCAGAAGAGGGCTACTTAAAGGAGGGTGAAGACAGACTAAGAAGTACTCATGAATTATGGGAGAGGGTAACTAATTATTCATAAAAGAAATGATGATAACCATGAGCAATGTCAATATTTTCAGCTACATCTTGGCAGTGTCAGGAATACTCAGGGACAAGCTTTGCTAGCTCTTATTACCAAGTATTTCACAAAGTGCAGGACAGAGACACACCTTCAAACTGTATTGTGCTATGGACACAACACAGAAGATATCAAAAAATGCTGATTCCCCACTGTGTACTCCTGTGGGGCATTCTAATGTGAATCAATTCTCTTGCACTGTAATCATGCTTTATGAATCCATTGAAACATATTGCTACATGTCCCTAGAGGATGCACGGGGGCTCACACTAGAATTTCTGAGGGAGCCAAACTGACAGATGACTTCCTTGTTCAGGATCACCTGAACAGTTACTCTGTATGGTCTGGCATTTCACATCTTCTTTTCCTGTGGAAGGAGGGAAAACACTTTTCAGGGATGAGCTAGGCTTGCTCATGGACTACATAATGACCAGGAAGGAGCAATTGCAAAGACTGGTCAACCCAAAGGTCTGCTTCCAACTCTTTCCCCTTCTGCAGACAAGACTCCTCTAAGGTTTGCTCCTTTGGGAAGTCCCTTGCCATGATTTCAAAGGACTGCTATTTCAAAGAAACCAAGCCTTTTAACACCATGGCAGATCTATTGTAGTCACTACCACACAAGTGGGCAGTTCAACCCATATTCTTGCAGAACCAAAGGGTGAATTATGGAGCCTGAAGAACAAGATTGTTGTAGCCCAAATGGCAACTTAAGCTCCTCCACAGATAGGCCCTACCTCACTGTAGCACTGATGTCTAGGATCTTCTGAACACTGTTGTAGCTTTCCCTGACACAGTGTCATGAGCCTCTCTCCTGTGGAGTGTGTTAATGCAAAACTAAAGAGTTGTAGGTGTCATCACTACAGACACTGAACCTTAATGATATTCAGTTATGTATTAAAATGCAATAAAAATGGCTTTTACATAAAACACACATTTATAAATACTGTACATTAAAGAATTCAAGCACTTTTCAAACTAAATATTTAAGTCTAATGAAGAACAGACAATAAAAATTTCAAAAGGTCTGGCTATTTGTAGCACTATACATAAGAACTTATATTCAGTATCTTGTCTAAGGAGAAGTTTACTAAAAACGGGTCAGTTATTACCACAGGAAGTAGTACACTAAAGGAATTGTTTTATGGCTCAGACAAACACTACCAGAAGATAAACACATGGATTGATGATAATGTCATCAATTAATTTCATCAAAATTTCAAAATCTATTTTCCCAAGGTATAAAACATTTCTCATAAATAACTATGCAGATAATTTAAATGGCTATTTGTCTCCTTTGTAATTACAAAATATATTTAGAGTTTAAGAAAAATTTCAGTTACTTTACATCAACAATAATAAAAATCAATATGGCAATGCCAGAAAACTAGAAAGCAGTCTGTGAGAGGGAAATAAAAAGATGCTTTATCTGTGCATGGTGCACCGCTCACAGGAGACAGAGGCAGGCAGATCCCTGTAAGCTCATGGCCTACAAAGTGAGTTCCAGGACACCCAGGGTAGTGTTAGAGAAACCCTGGTTAGAAAACAAACAAAAAAGAGGATGTAAAGGTGACAGGAAGTAGTAGAACATGCGATATGAAAGTGGAAAAGGAATACTGGGAAAGGAAAGGGTTAAGAGAGGAGGAATGGGCAAGGAGATGGAAACGGTGTGGAGGGAGAGTAATTCAAAACTACACAAATATATGAAAAAAACATAATGAAGCTTGATACTCAGTAAATTAATTAAAAAGCAAGAGAATCTGAATGAGATATTCTGTGTGGATGTATATAGCTGCTACCAAAACATGCAGGTTATTAAATAAAATCTCAGTGCACAGTGGGTTCTCCCTCTACCAGCTGTTTGTTCAGGAGATTCATGTTCTCTGAAATAATGCAGGCAATCACCACTACTGCTGCCTGCCCACCAGATGGTAAAACCCTATTGCTAAAGACCCCTTGTGCTCTGTTTGCAGGATATAGAGAAGCAACCTGGAACTAAGTTGTTAGCTTCCTCCTGCTGATTAGCTTCCATATAGTGCTAGAAGGTGTGGATTGGCTGCTCAAGTGAAACTGTCATCTATAGTATTCAGTTACAGACCCTACGTGCTATACTAAGCAGCTGGGCAGAATGTACCCACTGGTACAATAATGACAAGTCTGTTGGGGGGATCCAAACACTTTCTCATTGAAGGTCTAATGGAGGGAATTGATGTCCAGTACTATAGACCTGCTCTCAAGCTTATGTACAACTGTTATTGACGCACTAAAGTATTTTCCTTATAGTTGGTGACTTAGCTCCTTTCATTGCCCTCTCCATTTTCTTCTATCCCACTGCTGAAAACACCCCCACAATGCAACAAATCAGGAGCTATGTCCCAGCATACACAGATCCTTGAGGACTCTCTCTATTCCATGAATGGCATCCTTCTTTTGACTACTTCCTGCATTCACCAGCCCTCCACACAATACCTAGCAGACTACAGTCAGTAGCCAGAACCACAGCTGAAATTCAGGCAGCCCAACAAAGAGCACCTGCTCTTCACACACAGCCTCAGCTTATGTACTAACTAATAGCTTATAGCATACAATCTGAGAACCATATTTCAGTTTTAATATCCTCTGCTCTTTTATAAGAAGCTACATAACAGATGACTGTCTCCTCACAAAGCCTAACACTACTCTTTACATATCATTGACTGAATTTTCTACCCATAGTTAAAACTATTATTCAGGGAAAGCCTTTGTTTACACTGCCATGTGTTGTTTTGTTTAAACACTTGCTGGCAACAAGAAAATAGGAACTAAAAACTGAAAGATTAAGGGGTCTGTAAGAAAATGACAACTGACAGCACTACCTCACTTTACATACTTTGAACCACTGGCAGGATGGACCACTAAAGCACCTGACAAGTACTTTCATGAACGTACGCAAATAAAAATAAACATAGTTTTATTCTGAGTTGTAATCCTTGATATAGTATAGTTGGGTCTTCAGGTAGATTGATTTCCAATTTTCTGAGAAACCTCAATATTGATTTCTAAAATGGCTGTACAAGTTTGTACTCCCAATGGCATTGGAGGAGTGTTCCCCTTACTCCACATCCTCTCCAGCTTAGACTGTCATTAGTGTTTTTGATCTTAGCCATTCTGACAGGTGTAAAATGGTGTCTTGGAGTTGTTTTGGTTTGCATTTCTCTGATGATTAAGTATGCCAAACAATTCTTTAAGTGCCTTTCAGCCAGTAAAGATCCTTCTGTTGAGAATTTTCCATTTTCATCTGTACCCCGTTTCTTAATTGGATTTTTTTTTGTTTTGTTTTGTTTTTTATGTCTAGTTTCTTGAGTTCTTTATATATTTTGGAGATCAGCCCTCTGTCAGATGTGGGGTTGGTGAGGATCTCGTCCCATTCTGTAGGCAAGTGTCCTTTGCCTTACAGATGCTTTTCAGTTTCAGGACTTCCCATTTTATTAATTGTCCATCTCAGTGTCTGTGCTATTGGTGTTCTATTCAGGAAGTTGTCTTCTGTGCCATGAGTTTGAAGCTACTTCCCTACTTTATCTTCTATTAGGTTCAGTGTAAATGGATTTCTATTGAGTCTCTGATCCACTTGGACTTGAGTTTTATGCAGAGGGATTAATACTGGTCGGTTTGCATTCTTCTACATGCTGACATCCAATTATGCTAGCAGCATTTGTTGAAGGTGCTTTCTTTTCTCCATTATATAATTTTGGCTTCTTTGTCAAAAAAAATCAAGTTTCCATAGGTGAGTACATTTATGTCAAGGTCATTCTATTCCATTGATCAATGTGCCTGTTTTTATGCCAATGCCATGTTGTTTTTATTAATTTAACCCGATAGTAGAGCTTGAGATCAGGATGGTTATTCCTCTGGTAGTTCTTTATCATACTGGATTGTTTTGGCTCTGCTGGGTTCTTTTTTCCCAGCAGAAGTTGATTATTGTTCTTTCAAGGTCTGTAAAGAATCATGTGGAATTTTGACAGCGATTACATTAAATCTTTAGATTGCTTTTGGTAAGATTGTCACTTTTCCTGTTAGGCCTACCAATACACGAGCATGGGAGATCCTTCTATCTACTGATATCTTTCAGTTGCTTAATTAGAGTTACCTCAAGGGATTTTTAAATGATTTGTGGTTATTAGGAAGGGTGTTATTTCCCTGATTTCTTACTCAGTCCTTTTATACTTTTTATGTAAGAGGGCCATTGGGTTTTTTTTAGTTAATGTTTTATCCTTCCACATTACTGAAGGTGTCTATCAGATGTAGGAGTTCTTTGGTAGAGCTTTTTGGGGTCCTTACGTATATAGTTATATCATTTGCAAATAGTGATACTTTGACTTCCTTGTTCTTTTCTAATTTGTATCCCCTTGATCTCCTTTTGTTGTCTTACTGCTCTAGCTAGAACTTCAAATACTATATTGAACAGATGTGGGGAGAGTGGACAGCTTTATCTTGTTCCTGATTTTAGTGGAATTGCTTTGAGTTTCCCTCCATTTAATTTGATG